TGTAAATACTTGAAGATGATGAGGTTGAGAGAGTAAAAATGCCATTTTCGAAAAAAAATTCAAAAAACATATAAATGGCATTTTCGTAAATAAAATGAAGATGTGGGGTGAATAGGACAAAAACAAGATGAGTCAAAAGAAGAGGTTAGTTTTGTGTTTGACTTGGAGTTTTGAGTCAAATTTGCAAAAAGCCCGTGTATATATGTTACTTAAATTTAACTAACTGTAACATATTTTTCTAAAAATTTCCATAATTTTCACTAAAACACAATCTTTAATGTATACATACATTATTGAATATCTATAACTACACTATCACGTTCATACTAATTACAAAAAATATTATCTTTAAAATATACACGTGTGCAACCAGTGAATGTACATGTGTACATTTTCTTGTACATGTACATCATATTTGTATAGTGTATATATATATATATGTTGCTTAAATTTAAACATTTGTAGCATATTTCCATAGTTTTCATTAAACCACAATCTTTAATATATATGTACACTATTGACATGTATACTTATATCTATAACTACAAAATCACCTTCACACCAATTACAAAAAAAAAAATATGCATATGTACACTGATTTGTATATCCACATATGCACCGGTTTATATATATACATAGAATAAAGTTTAACTAGACATCCTTAATGTAACTTTAGTTGATACATTAAAAAATCTATGATAATGTCAGATTTCAAAATGGAAATGAAACAAACTGAATTTTCATCAACTTATATATATCTGTAATTTCTTGCTTTTCAATATTTTAGAGCTTTCTCTTTGCAATTGATGTCTCATTATTTTAATGAGTTTAACACTTATTTTACTTCACTTAAATCATTTTATAATATATTTAATTTCCTTAGTACATATATGTCTTCATTTGCATAAAACATGGGTTGAAATGAATTTTCTAAAAGTTTGGGGTGAGTCAAAAAGAAATTGGCATATTATGAAACATTTAGGAAAATGTCGCGATTAAATACATGTCGAGGGACCACTTCAGAAATTGTGAAGAAGTTGTGTCAAACCGATTGTAACCCAGATCTTGGGTCTCTTTTTTATGGAGCTCGAACCTAGTGGAATTGAGTACGGTGACATAGAAGACGGCTTAGACAGAGCTCTTACGCTGGCTTGGGCTCTGATTCTGATGGCGGGGATCTTCAATGGCAAACTGAGACTCACGACATTGATTGCGATAGAGGGAACCCGGAGAGATGGCGACTTTGGAGCACAATGATGTAGTCAGTCGATCTCACATACATCTACACCCTCATATATCTTTACCATTATCTACGTCAGTCGTATATGCCAGTGTGCCTTCACCAACAGCTTCGACGCCATCTATATCTTCACGGTCATCCATGTCTCTGTTTTCATGGATCCAATAAATTGACAGATCTCGAAAAATATGTCTAATAAGATAGACAAATGATCTAAAATAAGTCTTTTGAATAAATTATTTTGGAGAAACAAATATTAATTTATAGAAAATGCAATTTAAGAGGAAGAAGACGAAGAAGAAAGATCAAAAGGAAAATAATAAAAAGGAAATTATTGTGTTTCCAAGCCAAACATGTATTCTAAATTTCTAATTTTTTGAGTATAAATATATCTAGCTTAATTAAAGAATAAATAACATGAAAAATAAAATAGGTATGTTGGGGATTTTGCTACTCAATGTGTCGTTTATTGTGCAAAACTATCTCAAAAGCAGTAAGTGTCTTAGAAGACTTAAAGTGATATTCAGTGTAAATCTTTCTTGAAAATAATAGTGGAAGCAAAATAAAAGTCTGAAGGAAAGTATGTGAACGGTAAAATCTTGGATTACAATCCGCTCTCTTTACAAAGGATTAATAATGAACTATCAAACATTGTGTAAAGTTTAACATTTGTTTGGGAGGAACGATTGTGATTTTGTTGATGTTTGATTTCATTTTTTAGGATTTTCTTGTTTGTTGGTTTGTAGAAGTTGCTTCTAAAACATTGTATATCAAAAATGATCTTGCAAGGGTTTGATAGTTGTTAGTATGGAGTATATACTTACTTCTCTTAATTTGGTATTTTTGATTTTATTCGTTAATTTACTTAAATAAATTGCTATGTCATCATCATTACCAAGTTTCTTTACTTTTTCTTAATGTTTTAGCGGTTGAATTGCGAGAATCATCTGTGATCATGTTTGTACAATTTTATTGAAGTTGAAGTCTAAATGGTTTTCCTAGAGTAATGAAGGAGCATGAACATGAAAAGGTAGCGGAAAGTGGAACATGATAGCTAATCAATGACGATAATTACAATTTATGGCAGAAAATCAATGAGTCTTGACAATTATATGTAGTCGCTTCTTATTCTCTAAATTTGTTTTGCTATTGATGGTAGAAACTTGGTGAGATTGTTTCCCTGAATTTTCTACTTTCGTAATAATATTATGCATTTTTTATTTTGTTTGTAGATTAGGTCTTATGAATTGGAATATTTTGGTAGTGAAGTTCCAAATATAAAATTGAATGGATCTTCTTATGATCAAGTATGTAATCTTGTTATTAAATATACATTTTTAAGTATGTGAAATTTTTCATCTTATTGTGTTGTTTCTATTAAGAACATGAAATATTTTGGTTTATCATTCGGATATAAGAATAAGATCATGAAAACCTTACCTGTTCTTTTCACTTGTATATATAGTGATTTACATGCTTTGATTTACATGCTTTGGAGGGCCAGACAAGAAATCAGTGACATGCAATGTCATTTGCATAAAACTACACTTGTGTTAAATGCAAATAGGTTGAGACAATATTCCACATTTCTTTTATGAAAATGATCATTTATGTGATCTTTAGTTGTCACGAAACATTTCGAGATAAATCTATTTGAATGTGGGCTATTAGTACATAATCTTTCGGTAGTTAACATTAGTTTGAATGGCTCTAATTGAATTATTGGACTAAACTAAACGAAAAAAATTGTCTCATAAATAGTTTGTGTTGCCGATTTCCCAAATAATATTATCTTTCTCTCCTAAAATCTTTGAATAAACAAAACTAAATAATATTTTTCTTATCTTTTAAAAGTTCGTGTTTAATGAAATCTAAATAGTTCTTTATATTCCTGCTCGAGGTGTCATGACTAAAGAACTATAAGTAGTAGCTGTCTTCATGTTGATCCACTAAAGAAGATGTTGACCTAGATTTCATTTCAACTCTTCCCATGAAATCTGAGTTCTGACATTCCAAATTGATGCTTCATATATTGATCATATATAGTTTGCTTGGTCTAGAGTATGAGGGACTGCTATGGAAGATATTGTGCCTTATAGAGCATCAGATCTTCACCATTATTATGAGGGACTGCTATGAACGATATTGTTACCGGCTGACATTTGCTTTAGAGTTTTTGTCTATGGCATAACAACTTTGAGAGTTTGAACATTATTCATATCCTTAGGAGATAATTCATGATAATATGGAAATCTCAATTTCTCATGTAGGTCAGTTCACTTAAGATAGAAGTGTTTATCAGAATAACTTTCTTATCTAGTTGACAAAAAAAAGTTCTTGTATATACATTTATCAAGAATGTTAAGTTATCATTCGCACTTATCCAAGATCGGCAGTATTAAAAACGTAGCAGATGAGGTCCATCTGATCTTTTGATAAGTTTAGTGTCTCCCAATACTTAGACGATTTATCAGAACAAGGGTAGAGTAAACCGGTCCACATAACTAGTTCGTTTGAGTTTAAAAAGGGAATAATCTCACATCGCCATAATTAAAGGTCGAACCAAATCATAATAACTGGGACGAAACCAAGGTCTTATAGAAACTAGAACCAAAAGTCTAAGACAAAAACAGATCATTCTCAACAGAGGTGTGATAAACGTTCAACACAAAAAGAAAGATCTTAAACGATAGCGTTTGCAGCACTAGCGATCCTTGGCCACAAGTCAGCACACTCCTTTCCGATTGGTCCAGTGATAGCAGATCCTATATACATTAAGACACAAAAACAGAGATTCATTAGTTCTAAAGGCATTAGTTAATTTGGTGTTTACTAGTAACACAATTGGATTACTTCTTACCTTTCATTTCACCCTTGGGATTGACAATGACACCAGCATTATCTGCAAAATCACATACTTTAATTAGACTTTACACACTTCACATATAATTACAAGGAAAACATAGAGATGATCATAGAAATGCTTACCCTCGAAGTACATGAAGACACCATCCTTTCGGCGCCAAGGCTTCCTCTGCCTAACAATGACAGCAGGCATAACCTTCTTACGGAGATCAGGTTTACCTTTCTTGACAGTAGCCATAACCATATCACCAACACAGGCGGATGGCAAACGGTTAAGACGACCCTTGATTCCCTTCACGGAAATGATGTAAAGGTTCTTGGCTCCCGTGTTGTCAGCACAGTTCACAGTGGCTGCTACTGGAAGACCCAGTGACATCCTGAACTTGTTTCCAGAGGTTCCTCCTCTTCCTATAAAGAGTAAACAAAAAAATCACAAATGAGCAACAATATAAAACAACACAAATACCAGACATATGAATTAGGATCTCAACATAATAATCTGTGACACTGTAAATTTTTTGTAATAAAAATAAGATATGATAAAAAAAAGAACACAGAATGAGTAACACTACAAATCAATCAAAGTAGCAGACATATAGTTAGGATCTCGACATATGATTCAGGACAAAGTTATACTCTTAAGTCTTTTGTAATAAAAATCACAATAGGATAAACAATTAACTGAGACACAAGCTTGTCTATCTAGCATAAGAAGCATAAGCATCATTTTGTCGGAAAATGAGAAAAACGACATATGAAAGCGCATGCTAAGTTTACAAATCAACAAATATACAGCTCAAAATGTTTATATAATATCTGTAAAAGAGTTCATAATCTAACAACATAACTATATGATGGAAAACGCATATTCAGCTCCATACACGACAATCAAATCAATCAATCATAAGCTGGAATAAACACCAGATCTTCAATACGCGAGCAGTAACCATAAGGATGACAAATCATAACATATGGATGAATATAGAAGAGATTGAAAGCGATTGTTACCTCTCTTCGACATGGTTGCGGTTTAGCAGCTCTCCTTAGGAAGAGTTTTGATCGCAGTTGTAACAAGGTTTATATATTGTCTTGCTAGGGTTTTTCTTAGTGTGCTGACCTGGATTTGTTATTATTGAGCCTGAAAGCTAAATCAATTAGCCCAATAACTCTTGGTTTTATTATTACAGGCCAAAAAGTTTCAATAAGCCCAACAAGGCGCTACGATTTTGTACACCTTATCTCTTTTTCTTTTCTCAGTATTTTTGCACTCACAAGTTATAAAATTTCCAAGTTAAATATTTGATCTCGAATCAGATGGCATCTTTGATGGTTGATTGTAACAATGCATCATTGTCGTTTCACATACTTCATAATTTGGAATCAGGAACCAATTTATTTCTTATAAGAAGGCATAATGGTTTATATATTTGACATTGGCAATGAAATCTGTAGAACAACCATTAACAATGAGTTTATATCTGTCCGAAAAATCTTTGTCAGCTTACCATAAGAATCTGTTCAGTTTCAGATCATTTTACCTAAAGAAAGGTGATTTTCTAAGAGAAGAAATGTTGCGATCATAATGAATTAAGCAAGAGGCTCATGATGGATCAAAGTGCATATGCGTTTTCTAAATGTTTTTACTTTTTACTGATCAGCCTCATCTCCGCTTTAATGGCACCGCTTTGGTATCTGCGTTTTACAAGATTTCGTTGTTGTTAGTAAACATTTGATAAGTTACACTTGATGATGCATTCTTCTCTCAAAAGACTATATTTACTATATTTGGACAAGTTTTCTCACCTGGTTGTCTTTTAGCATGAACCAACTTTCTTCTTATTCCCGGCTTGCCTCGAGATCCTAACATATCACCAGAAGGAATATCCAAGAGAATTCAGTTTCTTTTTTTTTGGCATAGTGTCTTATGAACCAATGTACTTTGAGAAATGCTCTGATCTCTTTACTGAACAAAACAAGTTCTAACTGGGAATGTGTGAGCATACTACTAAGGATGCAAAGCCAGCGCTGTCACAAATATTTGAATAACGAAGGCTATGTGTAATCAATCATAACTGACCTTTTGATTTTATATCTCTGCATAATTCGCTTCCGCAGGAACATCTAAATGCCTTCACGGGATGACTTTCATCACTGAAGTCTATCATGTAATCCTGCCATTAAAAGAGAAGGGTTATATGAACAGAGTATGTGTACAACTCAAGAGTGAATAACATTACGGGAACGGTAGAAAACGTGTTTGGTCCATCTAGGTTGGTGGATTTATCTACAAATTACATAAATAATGGCCAAATCTAACCTAAAATTTACCCTAGAATCTACAAAAACAGCAGATATATATAATGGCAAATCTACCCTAAAATCTACAGCATGTCTAATTTTTAACTTTAGTGAAATAACCAGAGATGTGAAAAACTTCTTAGCCAGGTAGCTTAATCATGGTGCTTACCCATGTCAGTTCTTCCATGGCCTTCACGTCTCGATTGGTAAAAAAGGCAATCTACACATGATCAAACCAAGAATATCTTAAGCTGGCTGAAAATTACTTTTAGCAATTGCTGCCTTGAGTAAGATCAGGTTAGAGTGGGGAAATCATATACATACATGGTAATAATGTCTATCAGGAGTCTCTATCTGTACCGGAATATCAATCAAGTTTGCATCCTCACATCTGCATCAAAATTAAAGTTCAGAAGAAGATAAACTCTCAAGGGGAGCCACTAAAAAAAACCATTTAGCACAAGGAGAGTTGACTGGTACTACCTGTGATTAACAAACCTAGCGACATTTCCACAGAATGTAGCATCCAGGCAGAGAGCTTCTTCATCATTCAGATCTTTTTCAGAACCCCAGTCTGCATCCAGAGTTACAGGATATGTATGCCGTTCACTACTAAATCTTAGATTCCGGTCGTCTAACTCCGTGTTGGTCAAGATTTCACCAATGTATTCAAAGACAAAGGTTCCTTTCGGCAAGTCTTGCAGTGTTCTAACACCCCATCCTTTCCCTTCTGGAGTAAAGTAAACCTGGAACATATATTTTTCTTGTCAAACAAATTAAACAGGTAGCTAGTTTTAAACCATATGAGGAAACCAAAACATTAAGACATGAAGCAATGGTCCGCATATAGTAGTATATCTTCTAGAAATGTTACCTGCAGTTGGCACTTTATCCCTCTCTGTACTACTCTATTACCACACAGCATATCACATCCACACTTTCTCCAGCATTCCTTAATGAACTTCCTGATTAAGTGTCCTTGACATTTCCCATTATCTTCCTCTAAAGGGCAGTCTTGGCAGTAAAAACTACTGAACGTATCTGGTGCCTTTTTCATCTTAAGACAAGTGTCAAGAAAGTCCTCCTTTAGCAACCCATCTTTGGTATAAGCATATTCTCCGCTGGTTTCACGAGCACAAGCACATGGAAAGTCGGCTGAAAGACAGTCTCCCTTGCAGGTTGCGCAACAATCGTCATCGGAAATCCGAGCAAGAGACACATGGACATAAGCACTTTGGTATACAATGTTTTGAGGGATGTAAGTAAATGTGGGCACTTTCTCAGTCCCGATAACATCAACCAGAGATATCTCAACGCTCTCTGAGCCTTTCGTTATGTCTTGAATTATAGTTTTATACTTCCTCTTGCGAACACCACTGCTAGTCATCTGTGGCTGCTTATGGACTTCCTCAACAGACAAACCTGAGGTTGCAGAACGGGTTTCATATACTGTTTTCAGAGTACCAGGAGAGTCAACATTCTTCCCTTTATTGCCATTAGATGAACCTTCGCTTTGTTTCTTCAGAGTAACACTAGGAGAAGGGTCAATGGTCTCAGCATCCTTCCCTCTATAGCCATTAGATGAACCTTCGCTTTGCTTCTTCAGAGTAGCACTATGAGGAGAGTCAAGGACAACATCACTCTTCCCTCTATTGCCATTAGATGAACCTTGACTTTGTTTCTTCAGAGTAGCACCAGGAGAAGGGTCAAGGACAACAGCACTCTTCCCTCTATTGCCATTAGATGAACCTTGGCTTTGCTTCTTCAGAGTAGCACTAGGAGAAGGGTCAATGGGCTCACCATTCTTCCCTCTATTTCCATTAGATGAACCTTGACTTTGTTTCTTCAGAGTAACACTGGGAGAAGGGCCAGTGATCACATCATTCTTTCTTTTATTGCCATAAGAAGAACCTTCACTTTGCTTCTTCAGAGTAACACTAGGATAAGGATCAATGGGATCAGCATTCTTCCCTCTATTTCCATTAGATGAACCTTGGCTTTGCTTCTTCAGAGTAGCACTAGGAGGAGAGTCAAGGACCACAGCATCCTTCCCTCTATTGCCACAAGATGAACCTTCGCTTTGCTTCTTCAGAGCAGCACTAGGAGGAGAGTCAAGGACCACAGCATTTTTCCCTCTATTGCCATAAGAAGAACCCTCACTTTGCTTCTTCAAAGTAACACTAGGAGAAGGATCAATAACCACATCATTCTTCCCTCTACTGCCATAAGATGAAATTTTTGTTTGCTTCTTAAGAGCAACACTAGGAGGAGAGTCAATGACATTGACCACACCATTCTTCCCTCTAATCCCATTAGATGAACCTTCACTTTGTCTCTCACTTCTCTTCACAACACCACTCTTCCCTCTAACAGCATTAGATGAAGTTTCAGTTTGGTTCTCATTCTCTTCTTCATCAAGAGAGTAAATAGCATCAATCAATACAGTATAGTTATCAAGTCTGATGATACCCCAATTCCCACCATTCTCTCTCAACAGCTTCCTAAGAACAAGCAGAGTCTTCTCATCTGGAATCTTCAGTTCCCTTGCTTTCTCACAGGCCTTGCGTACCCTCTCGTCCGTGAGCAGTAGAGGCTGCATTTAAAAATCACTTGCACCAAAAAAAAACTGCAAACTCTATACACAAACAAAAAAACAAAAATAAATCATTAAAGATGTGAACTTTAATATCCAAACTCATGTGAAACTGAAAAAAGATTCAGAATTTCTTAGTTATCAGCAAAAAAAAAAAAAAAAACCTAAGAAGCTAATGATTGCAATTCCAATTACCTAACAAAATCCGAAATTTTCGCGAAATAATAAAATCACATTGAAGAGCAAAACGAGAATTTAAGAGGTTGCGGAAACGAAGAAAAAAAAAAAAAAAAACCTCAGCGGAAGCTTCTGGAATCAGCCGCGTGATCACAATTGTGGATAGTGATTGAATTTGCATGCAGCAGAGAGAATATCGAACTTTCTGAGTAAATTAAATAATAATTAGTAGTACTAAACTTTATTAAGGTTGGTGGGAAATGCCCTAAATAAAATCCCATTCTCACAGAATCCGACTCACTTCGGTTGGGTCAGCTGTGTGAGTCAACTGTTTCCCAAGAGAGACTGTATTAGTAGATTTTTTTGTGTGGAAAAATCTAATTTTACCATATACTTTCAGATTTGCTTCTAAACAAAAAACTATTTTAATTTAGTTGATATAAAAAGGCAGATTCTTTTTCCTATTCTATTAAATGTTTTATAATTATTAATTAAAAATAAAAAAGAAATACTCATTCTAATTAAATCCAAATATTAGAGAAGTGTAATCTTTACTTTTTTAAAGAATTTTTATATGTTTTCTTCCAATAAATCCTAGAATGTTTAAAATAATAGTATACTCCTTCCGTTTCAAATTGATCCTTATTATAGAAAATTTATTTGTTTCAAAAAAATCAATTTTTTTTTTACATTTTCAATACAAGTAATAATAATAAATAGTAGATTTAAATCAAATTAGTTATTTTAATAAATTTTGATTGGTTTATCACTTATGGAAAATAGTTAAACAAAAAAATAATGTATTTATAATCAAAATTTAAGAGATTTTATTAATATGTGTGATAATTCTAAAATATCTATCTTATTGAAACGGAAGGGTAGATAACAACAATTTTTGAGTTTTCATAGTAACTATTTTGAATTAAAAATCATCACTTTGTTCTTTGTTGTTGTGTTTTCTATTATATTTCTACAAATTTTCTAGCAGTTATTCAATGGTGTTAATTGTTAATTTGTACATTATTTTAATATATAGGAAAATAGTATTGTAATAATATTTCGATTTTTTATCCAAAATATATATCCATCAAATATAAAATACATATCAGCTGCTCTGCTTTAAATTCCACTTATAACTTTTATGTAGGGCGATGTAATACGCGTTTCAATTATTGTATGGTCTTTTTGTCAATGATCTCGTTGTCCACAAGTTGAGAAGCTATCCTTTACGATCTACAAGCCCATAATTCATGATGGTGTACTGTGTACATCTACTTTTGCAGTAAGTGCGCACAAATACAAACAATTTTGCAATTCATGATTACTTTGTTGCGAAGAAACGAAAAATGGAAACAAAGGCATGCATGCCATGATTATGAATATAAACCTTTACGCATCTGAGAAAGAAGCGATATTTATCCTTCAAAAGACAGACTCATCTGAGTAAACCCCATGCAAGGATTCACATTTAGAATCCCAACTTGGTATTTGTTTATGGCAATTCAAATCTCAAAACTTGATAGAATGTGACAAAAGAGAAAGTTATGTATACTTTCTGATATAGCACATCAACATCCGTTCGAAATTCTTGGATACAAATATTCAAGATGTAGCAAGCAAGAAATTCATTACATGCAGACTGATTACATGGTCTGGATGACGATGCATCTTGATTTTTGTTTATTTAACTGAGAGAAAAAAAAAATGAAAAAGACATGCCATAAAGCTAGCTCCCTAGGTACTTAATGGTAAATCGATCAAGCCTTGAAGTCTTGAAGAGGAAGATAAAAGAGGTTTGTCGGCAAACACTGTCTTTTTGTGAGCAAAGAACTTAAGCAAGCTTTGGATTGTTTTCACAGAGAATGTAATAAAGACTACCAAGAAACTGCATGCAAATATAAATTCCGTTATCAAAAAGCAAGATGCTAATATGTTTTTGATAATGAGAGATTGTCATCAAACAACAATGGTTTGATGCAAAATTAAAACATCTAAATATGTACTCAATTCGTCATATATTTAATCCTATCTTCTTCAAATACGTTTTTAAAACCCTCAGTGTCTTCTTTTTCTCCAGTTCAGTAAATGAACCGTCAAGAGGGAAACGACTTTAAAACCCAAACTTGTATTAATTATACATTTTAATTAGAAAGCCCTTTTTCAAAAACAAAAAAACGACAATAAAACCCTCACTGTCTTCTTTTTCTCCAGTTCAGTAAATGAACCATCAAGGCCATCATTAGCTGCAGGGAAGTGAATTTAGATAGAGTAACATACATACACCATTGAAGAGAAACACAAAGATTTTCACGGAAGATAAACTCGTCATCATACCAGGCAAGTATTCAGATATCTCTGGTTGTGGCTCTGTTGAGTCTTCTACAAGATGCTGAATAAAACTTTCTTGGTCTTCTTCTTCTAAGTTATATCAAAAGGTGGGAGCTAATGATAAAAAACAATTTAAACTACACAATCAGACAAATCAAATTCTTTAAAGAAAACACAGTAACTTTTCTAGATAATGGGACTCATGTTACACTACATGTGATGGCATTGTCTCGCAGATTGAAACAAAATAAACTACCTCGGAAATCCTCATAGCATTAGAAGACAAAGTGATTACCAGTTGAAACCGGGCTTGCTCTTGCGCTATACAGGTCCTGATCTTGTGTCATAAATTATATCTCCTTGAACATCAATTTTCTCATTTTAGTTGGTCCCTGAAACACATAAAAGCGTAAGAGGAAGGAAAAAGAAACAAACGGAGTGGTTCTGATGCGTTGAAGGGTCAATAGTTGTGTAGACGCATTTGCTTTCCTTTCACTACCATCTCAAGATCAAAGTTGAAGTTAAAGTATACACAAAAAGAAGAAGATAAAAACTCATGTTACGAAATTTAGATTCGAATAAAGGTTGACTAAAAATAAAGTAAAGAGAGAAATGAAAATGAAAACTATTATTAATTTAACAATTTTAATTTAAATTAATATACATAATATTATCGATATGGTTACATGAACTTATACGCCACCATCTCAACTCATCATCGTCTGTGAATCCTTCAATCTCAACTCTTCTCATCACCTTTGTCTTTATATCGAAAAATGAAACATATAAACCATCAGCATACGAATTTCCCCCAAAAACGAGTTCTCCAGCATCAGTAGTTCCTGAAAATGTTTCTTCTAGATGCCAAAATGTATCGGGAAAATAAAAAATATCCGTTTTCGACCAAATTTGCTCCTTCACATCTTCGAGAACCAACAACCTAAAACTAGTTTCATTTAAAAAACTAAGGCCTGCTAATTTCCCTTTGTAGTCTGCTAGACAAGTTAACGTTTCTTCTGGTTGTTTAATCTGACCAAAACGCTCAGAATCAAAATCAAAAGTAACCAATATCATAGAGCTCGTTGTCCTACCTTCATAATACACAACTCCGTTTATGTATACACCCTTAGAACAAGGAGTATAATTAGAGATACCACTTTCAACGCGCCTCCACGGAACATTAGAAGATTGTTGACGTTCCAATGTATATACACTATGCTCAGAGACTAAGTTGTCTCTCCATGGTTGCGTGACCACCATTCGTAATACTTTGTACTTGTCATTGCTTAGATCATATCCCAAATGCATATAATATTTCACTGTATCATGATCAAACCGATGATCCTCGGGTAAGCTTATGACTTGTCTTGTAGTTGGATTACATACCATGTAGTGATGGTGATGAGAACAGTATATAAAGCCACGAACACAAGAATGGATTATGTATCGATCCGGAGACGTTTTTGACATCGCCATCTCGTGCCTGGGCACTAGTGATGATGAATCATTTGATTCTGGATGAGAAATATGATGAGGCGAGGACAAGATGATCAATTGGTTATCGTAGTTATCATTCCAAGAGTAGTGTTGGTAGGTGAAAAGGAATAAAGGTCGAGAGATAGACACTGATAGGAAAGTGTCTATAAATATTTGGCTACGGATTATGGAACACCATTTCTTCGATACACTTTTGCACACGAGAAGGGATTTTGCAGGAAGTTTTAAGAGTATATCCATCGTCAGATCAAGAGGGAATGAGTCTAAGCTATAATCGACCGTTGAGATCACTCCTTCGTTGTCTTTGTCTTCTGTTTCCTTTGTTTTCATGGTGACAAGATAATCCCAAACCTAAAAATATACATTTTTTTTAGATTAGTCCCAGTAGAAAAGACTTATAGCAATGTAATTCCAAATGAAAACTAGATTTGATCCTCCAGACGAAGAAAAAAATTACCACAATATAATGACAAGTTTTTTAATGATGATCCCTGATGACCGACCTCTCTTTCACATGTATTAGTTTTACGAGCTCAAAAATCCTGATTGAAAATCACGAAATGAAACAATTGGAAACGATAATCTAAAAGTAAAAAAAATATAAGAAATCGTCTAGGATAAGACGAATTTAAAGAGTCGAGATTAAATATTTTTCTTTTAACTCAATAAATCCCCTTTAATATGTGATTAATCTGTATGGTTTTTGAATCACAAAACAACTATGATGAGATTGTTACGAAACATCCGAATTACAAAGTATGAACATAGAGTTATATGTTATACTCTCAAGATATACTTACTTTAAAGAAGAAAACTAAATATATTTTGTTGTTGTAAGGTTTTAGGTTGATTTTTTCTTCGTTTATGAAATGACGTGATTATGCATCTATTTATATTGGTATAAGTTATTTGATCACCAAAAAATAATCATAGAAAAAAAAATTCCAGAATTCTTTCATAAGTATTCCACAATTGTTTTGAAAAATATTATATAGCTATTTTAAAAATATCACATACCTAATTGAAAAAATATTTCCTTGTGGAAAAGTAAAAGAATATTCATGAAAGATTACATACTTATTATAAGGAAGATTCCATAATTATTTCAGAATTATTGCACAATTATGTTATTATATCATTTTAAGACTATTTCATCATTAGTTGAGAAATATTTAATTATTATTTGGACTTAAATCTTCAAATTTATCCAAAATAGGATAGAAAATATTTAACAACAATTTATACACAATCTTTACATTTGTCCAAATTAATATGGAAATATTTTGTAATCATTTGAGCACAATTTTGTAAGATTTATCCAAATACTCATTTTTCTTCACATTAAATCAAATTTTACCCAACCTATTAGGTTTATAGAAATTGTATTTACGCTTATTTAATTTGTTACTCATCTCGTTTGGCTTATAGAAAATGGTTTTAACAAATTCTCATATGAATATAAATTACTCTAAATATACTGTTGAGGAATTGAGTTCTCGTCAATTCCACTCCGATCGATTCCGGCGAACTTCACGAACCAAGAACACACATCAATTTACCCGGTTCGCGGTGTTAACTAACCGCTACGTCCGGTTAGGACCGAAAGGTGTTAACGAACCTCTCAGTCCCCAACTTCCATAGATGAATCGGAAACCACCTCCGACGGGTTTATACACGAAGATCACTCACCACCGATCACACTCTAATCGGTTTACAAGAAGAAGAGAACCCTAGAAGAAAGACTAACCCAGACCCAAAGATTACAAACCTCTCTGTATATCTTCTCTCTTGATCTCTCTCTCTCTCTCTCTCACAGAAGCTTGGTGAAGAAGACGATGACGTCTCTGCCACTCTCGTCACTTTGAAACAGAAGGCTTCTTCTCTTTATAAGGGATCCAGTAAATCGCACATGCCTCTCACGTGCTTATGATATTACCCATATAATGAGACCTTCTGGGTGAGCTAAAGTGTTTGCCACACTCGAGCTAAAACCGACATCTTCATGCTCCAATCTTCAAGCTTCTCAAATAACTTCAAGTTGAATCACCATCTCACATATACATATTTAAAATCGTTAGACTATAGTGATTCGATATACTCTACTAACTACACTTAATAATAGAATAGATAAACAGACTTTTTGAGAATATAAGCAAAAACTAACATATATGAAGTAGTAGTGCACCTATTTTAGTTTCGAACCACTCATTATTAATGTACACTAGATTTTGATCCGCGCTTGAAAGCGCGGAAATTTTTTATAACTAAAATTTATATAATTGGGTTATGTCTTAATTTAAAGAATGTTTTGGTATAAAATAAGTTTATCAAAATTTGTGGTGGCGATTTTTTTCATTAGTTTTTATTTTTAGATTTTGGTTTTTAGTTTTTGAGTTTATATTTTTGATTTTCAGCTTTTGTTTGGGTTTTTAATTTTTAGATCCACTGAATTAGTTTGAACTGATATTACCAACAAACAAATTTCAAATAATCGAACATCTAATTTAAAACTGAAAAGATGACAAATTTTTTTAAAAAAAAATTGCAATAGTTTATTTTGTAAATAAAAAAAAAAGCAAAAATTATAACAATATGTTATCCAGAACAATGCGTTTTCAGCTTTTTGTTTCTGGTTTCTGGTTTTAGTTTTTAGAATTGTTTTTTGGTTTTGCTTTACATTATTTTTTTAAAATCAGTAAATTATTTAAGAAAAATAAAACAATAAATTATTTAAAAGTTACCATTAAAATTTATCAAAAAAGTGATTGTTATTTAAAATAAAAAAATACAATAACATGTTTTAAAATACATGATTTAAATAAATGATTAGTAATAGACAATTTTGTTTTGTTAAAAATATTAAATAAATTTGGGTAATTGATTTTTTGATCCATTAAGAAAGAAATTTTATTCAATGTTTTTGGAGTTTTTCCTTAATAGTAAGCCTAAAATCAAACCATATAATTTTTCCTAAAAACAAAACTAAGCCCAAGACTATATCCCATAAATAACCATCAGTTTAATTTAAGTAATGCGGTTCAATTAACTATATGGCTTGTTGTAACACTCTAGAAAGAGTCCAAATTTAAATGACAATTTGTATTAATAGATAAAAGACTATATTTTAATAGAGTATATTTCCATTGGTTTCGTATAATTATTAAATTTCCATTTTTTAAAAAATTGTTAAGATGCTAAATGGTATATTACGATTTCCTCATTAATATAATCAGTAGATTTCCATAATGCATATTTTGATAATATATATTCTTTTAGAACATTTCATATTTGTAGGAGAAAATATGTGTTTTTGGTAGACACATAGATATCTGCCGTATTTTGAAGATACTTTACATTAAGGTCGCTATGTTATATTAATTGTGTTGGTTTAATTTAAATAATGCGGTTCAATCAATTATAAGACTTAAATTATTTGTAACACTTTAGAAATAGTCCAAATTTAAATGACAACTTGTATCAGTAGATAAAAAGAATGTCTCTATTTCAATAGATTAGATATGTACGTTTACTTTAAAAAAAAATGAACATGGTATCTTGAATCACCTACTATTAACATTTTAGGAATTTCCTGAACATGAATTTTTAGTTCAGACCTATAAACTCATCAACATCTTTTATGATAGAGGGCAAACACAATAGATATGTCTATACAACGTGATTCTAGAAAATACTCGGATCAAGCCGAAATCAAACCGAAAGCTAATTAAAATAAGCCAATCAAGGATATGTATGAAAACATGAATTTCTTTTTAACAGAAACTCCTCTATTATTACGTTAGTTCGTTTTGACTTGATCTTTTGTGTTTTCATTACAACAAGTCAAACCTATTTTAATACCTGCCACCTTTTAAAGACTCCAACTGTTTATAACCACTTTTCCGTAGAAGACAGCTTGTAAAACAAACCAACGGTCCAGTCCTTATCATGTCTAAAAACAACCAGCCTCTTCCTCATCTCACGCTTCTTCTTCCTCTTCCTTTTTATTCTCCTTCTCAATCTCTTCTCAACTGATTCGTATGATCATTCACGAGAGACAAAGTGAAAAAAAAGAGAGAAAGGTTTATTCCTTTCACCTTTTCTTGACTCCCACGTTTCTCGCGAAACGTTAAACGAATCCATTTAGATTTTGTTTTTAGAATAACAATGGTTCGTCCCAAATTCGCATGTCCTGTTCTCGAAATCAACTTGATCTCAGCACAAGACCTAGCCCCTGTTTCGAAAAACATGAAAACATACTCCGTCGCGTGGATCAACACCGATCCAATGCGTAAACTCACGACCCGTGTCGACCAAGCAAACCGATCTAACCCTATATGGAACGAGAAGTTCGTGTTCCGTGTCAACGACAAGATCCTCCAAGCTGACGTGTCAGCGATTGTGATCGAGATCTACGCAGCGGCTTGGTCTAAAGACGCGCTTGTCGGAACCGTGAATGTTCTTCTAAGCGATCTCTTTGCTCCTTGGTCTGGTTTCGGCGACGGCGACGACGGTGGCGGCGGGAATAACAACATGAGGCTCGTGACGCTTCAGATTCGTCGTCCTTCAGGGAGGCTTCAAGGCTTTTTACGTTTAGGCGTTGCGCTTCTCGACGGTGGTCAACGGAGTATGCCGTTGTCCACAGAGGTTATAGATAATAAGAGAGATACTCAAGATGGTGTAAAGATGATGCATCGTCGTACGAATAGCGATCTGACCGATTTAACGACGTCCACTAATGATTACCTTGTGAAAACAGGGGTTGTTACCGGCGGAGCAAGGGCTTCCGGTAACGGTGGAGGTGGAGGAGGAGGTAGTGTTGTGGTTGGTGTGGATAGTATGGTGAATGGTTCGTATTGTAACTCTGATATCGGACCATCTGCGTCTGTGGTTGCGGCTGCGATTGCTCAGGGGCTTTACAATAGACAGAAACCAGCGGTTAAAGCGGTTGCGGTTAAGGAGGACGCGAGTTCGATACTTGAAGGGAAGACGGAAGGGATGGAGCTTAGAGTTGAGAGGTGGAGAGCGGAGAAAAAAGTTGCGGGTGGAGCGGTTGAAACGTCTACGTCGAGCGATGATTCTAGCGGGAAAGGAGGAGGTGGGGGAAGGAGGCCGAGGAGGAGTAGGAGGAGAAAGGAGAAAGAAAGGCGGAGGAGAAGAGACGGAGAAGGTAAGAAAGGGTTGTTTTCATGTTTTGGGAATGTGTTTGGATGTGAGATTTCGATTACTTGCGGCGGTGGAGGAGGAGACAGCGGTAAGAAGAGACGTAACAAGAATAAAGTAGCAAACCTTAGTGCTGTAGACGAAACGTTTAGTCATTCTGCGGCTTGAGAGTTGGTGGTGTTAACGTTTGGTTTATGGGTAAAACTATTGGAAATTGGAAGATATGTGGCAAAACTTATGAATACAAAAACTCTTTTACGTTCTTGGTGTAAGCGTTTTAGTCATTTCTGCGACTTGAGTCTTATACGTGTAAAAACGGTTTGGTTTGATGGGTTGAATTGCACATTTGAAAGTATGAGGTCAAACGTATGAATAAAACTTCTTTTACATGTTCGGTGTAAACATTTGGTTTGATTGGTTTATTGTTAATTGGTGTGGTAGAAAATATAAAATTATTATTCGGTTGTGATTACCCGGTTTAATATTGAAAACCTGAACCGTTCTTCTCTCTATCTACTTCTGATAAACCTCTCGATTATCCAGTTTGGTTTAATCTGGTTTCCATCTCCATCATCTCAATTGTACTCGGTTTGGTTGATTTCTAGCTTAACCTGGTTTATTCCATTCCCTCGACTAAACTTGGTTGGGTTCATTGCTGGTTTAATATAGTTTTAATCTCCATCATCCCGATTGAACTCTGGTTGTTTCATTAATGGTTCATTAGTTCTCTACCAATCAAGGTCTAAGTCATTTTTACTTACTAGTCAGAGCTGTTCATCGTGGAGTGGATGTGATCAACTATGGCGAATCTGCTCCATCTTCAGCTATCTTCTTCTTCAAGTTTAACCGCGTTTGGTTTCGATGGGTTAATTTCAAATGTGAAAGTATGAGGTCAAAAATGTACAAATAAAACTTCTTTTACATTATTGTGTAAATGTTTGCTTTGTGATTGTTTATTGTTATAATTGGTGCGGTAGAAAATAAAAAATTATTATGAATGTTTAATATCGAGAACCTAAACCACTCACCTCAAGATTATCGGGTTTGGTTTAATCTGGTTTCTATCTCCAACACCTCGATTGAATTCGGTTTGGTTAATTTATGGTTTAATCGGGTTTACATCTCCATCACCTCGATTGAACTCGGTTTGGTTCATTTCTGGTTTCTATCTCCAGCACCTCCATTGAATTCGGTTTGGTTAATTTATGGTTTAATCTGGTTTACATCTCCATCACTATTGCTCTTATGGTTTAATTTATGGTTTAATCTGGTTTACATCTCTACATCACTATTGCTCTTATGGTTTAATTTATGGTTTAATCTGGTTTACATCTCTTCAGAAACAAGCGATTAAAAAAGCTTTTTGTGGAGAGTGGATGAAAGATCAACAACTATGGCGAATCTCCTCCATCTTCAGCTTTCTTCTCCCTCCACAAGTCTAGCCTCTTCCTTCAGACGCAGACACTCTACTCTAAATCGCGAGATTGATCTCTGGAGAACCTTCCTGAGCCGCCGCGGAGGCTCCGTCCAGTGCCGCGCGGGACGGTTCAGATTCCGTACAGAGGACGAGCTCTTTCGCGACGGAGGTTTTGACTTTGGATACAGAAAGAAGAAGAAGAAGAAGCCGTGGTGGTGGTTAGACGATGATGATGATGATGATGATGACGATGGTTTGATGAATGATGAAGAAGACTGGAGTATGGTTTTTGAGGTATATTGCTTCTTAATGATGATTCGCTTTTCATTACAAAAGTTGTTAACTTTCGATGTGTAAATGCATTTTTTTTTAGGTGTTTAGGAGTTTAAGTTGGATGCTTGCGCCCATAGGGATATCTTTGATTCTAGGAACGGATTCAGACGCGGGGTTAATGGCGTTAGCTGTTCCGTTAGTTCAGTCTTTGGTGTCACTTGTGTTTAGTAAGGTGTTGAGTAGGCCTAGTGTTGGTAGACCTATTGAGAGAAGCAGAACGTTTTCAAGAAGGAGGAAAGGTAGGCGAGGAGGAGAGATGGATGTTGGTGGTGTGGATAAGGGAGGATATAAGTCATGGATTGTAGGAGATGCTGATGACAACAGTATAGGTTCTAGGTATGGAGGTTGGGATGATCTGGAGAATGGAAATGAGATTTTGTTTGAAGAGAGTGTTCGTTCAAAGGAACAGTTTAAGAGAAGAAATGGTACTCGGCGGTGGAGAGTTAAGGAGAAGCCGTTGCTATTGAGGATGCTATTTGCTTCTTTCCCCTTTTTGAGTTCATGGACCAAATTGTTATTTTGAGGAGCCCTTTGTAGCTTGGAGAAGTGCTGTATATTCATGCGGTTGGTCTTTCAAATAAAATCCCTAAAGGTTAGCTTTCATTCATCTTGGAACATAGAGTACATGTCTTACTTGTGATAACAATACATATTCTGTAAGTTGAGATCAGCGATTCGTGTTTCTATAAATATAAAAGCGTAGTGGTGTGTTGTTTGTACAGCCTAAGTAGCATCTTGATTTTCTTTTTAATCAGCACCAATGATTAATGATGGGGTACCAGATACTGCTACTGAAATTTAGTATGTGAGGTTTGGAGTGCACCATTATCTAGTCAGGGAGCAATACTACTGGAATATATGCCTTCACATATATTTAGTTCACATCTTATATTATATCATTCATAGGGTTCTTTCGATGTTTTTGTTAGTGATAGTAACCAATGGCCTCATTATAAGAATCTTTGATAACGGAATAAAGAGCAATATCAGTCGAATTTTCAGAGGCTAGGACTACAGTTACTCCTATGAGCTGAAAACCTTTACCTTAGTGTCTTTGAACTAGCTAGAGAACTTTTACTCTGAGATTGTAGTTCTGATGGTTTGCCCATAAACAGTGTGATTTGTTTTTCTGGCTAGGGATTCTTGGCAATCCTATATACTGTTGTTTGGATAAATATAAAATTTATAACTGAATGGGCACATGCCAGTTCTCTGCTGTATGAAAAACAATTGAAACCATAATCTGGGAGGGACTTTTTATGTCTTAAGCATTTTATTTTTAGTTTCTCTTCTATATAGAATCTTATATGCTTCCTGGTGATAAGGACTAACCCAAATCTAGATAGTAAGTAGGAAATTTATGAAGAAGTAGGAGGATCGAACTTGTAATGCTTGTCGATAAAAAGAGATACGTCCCAAGTGCAGCTAAGTCCCTTGGGGATGGTTACAAGATCCCCCGCTCCAAACTCCACAAACTCTGATGACCCTTTTGGATACACCTTCACCCTTCCCTTCACCAAATAGCATGTCTCTCTTTCATCAAATACCAATGCATACTTCCCCGGCTGGCAAGACCATCTATTTATCAAAGAGATTCATCATGTTGTGACCTATAAAATGAGGACTAGAAAAAAAATGGAAATCTATGTAACTAGAGCATGTGCATGTTTGATACTTACTTAGGCCATGACATTACTCCAAGTTCAACTAACTTTATGCTAGAAGGGTGGTGTTCGATTACAATATTCATTTTCGTAGAGTATATAAGGTGAATTTGAAGATGTTTCAATGCTATTTAGATGGAATAGAGAGAAATGAAGATAGGAAGAAATTAGGTTTATGAGATGGATATGTATGAAGGACAAGAGTAGTCGCTCTGCATGTGTATGTATATAAAGGGTTAAAGTGACTTCTCATTTTGTCCCTTTGTATTTAAAGGGATAATAGGGGAGAGGAATCTTTAAGTACGCACATTGACCCAGAATGGATACAAAACAAAGTCAATAGATATATCCACTAAGCTGCGTTTCTAAAATACTCATTCTAGAAGTGTATAATATTACAAATCTCTGGTTTTCTACTCTTATTTGTCTTATCAGTTAATCTGATTTAGATTGTTTCTCTAGAAGGCAAAGTGCTTCTTGAGATCGACTTTTACAACAATTAATAGGTGATTCTTCTCGAGAATGTTTGATTGATTCTTCAGTGGAAGCTACGTGATAAATCGGGACATTGATTTGTGTAGCCCACCTATAGTTTGGCTGCTTTCTCAACTGGCTCTGTTTGTTTGTTTATATTGTTGTATGTCATGGAATGTGAGGATTAGTATTTTTTTTTACAATATATCTGGTATTTATATGCATACATTCACATGTTTAGAGAGACTCATTTAGTATTTGCAAATTTCTGTCTTTCAGACAAGAGTAATATGAACAACTGGATAAAGCGTGGAAGTTTGGTTCAGGATGAAAACAAAATCACCATGTGAACACCCTAATGAATGCGGAAAACAGTGTCCTGCTTTGATTTGGTCTGATCATTCACACATCAAGAATCTTTATTCTTGTCTCTTCAGTATTGACACTAACATGATCCAATACTATTTTTTTTTTTTGAATGAATGTAAAATTGAATTCAAACAAAAACCATATTACATCAAGTGCATTTGTTTTTTAACTGAGGCTACAAACCCCAATAACATTTCAAAACCAAAATAGAAGCAAGCTAAACACTAATCACTAACACCCCCCTCAAGCTTAACCATAGATCCAATACTATTGCTCCAATTCCTCCGACCAAATTAATTAGTAAGTGCCTGTCGGGTTGACTGGTTAACATATCAAATTAAACCATATTCTGATGAACCTCCGGGTGGTATCTGCAGGGGAAAGACAGAAACCAACCAGAGAAAACTGAAATGAGAATGAGAAGAAACAAAATAATGGATCAAGCAGCCTTAAGTAGACTACAAGCTGTGTGTTTGGTTTGTTGATAAGTTGATTTTATTTCCACTTCAGTTAGCTCTAAAATAGACGTTTCACATTAAAAGAAAGTTCCAAAGCTTGTGTTCTCTCACATCATATGTGACCTACAGATAAATCAGTACTAATGCCTAGAAAATAAGTATCATTTTCTCTTGTCTTAGTTTATGCTTTTTGACCTCAATGCTTCAGATTGTTTAGTTATCGTATGTTGTTAATTTCCTCAAAATTTAACACGAGCGAATGTTCATTGCCCAAACAAAGTGTGGTCGGTTCATCATCCATGGCAATACAACATGATAGGAGGACGTCTGTTTTGAGCAAGAGAGCCCACCAAATGTTTCTTACAAAAGATAAGTCTACTCTAGTAAAATAGTTGTAGCACATATAACATACAACAAACACTAACCGGAGATAACCAATGTGATTGGTGTATGTATAACCAAAATTAAGTACAGTAACTTGCAAAAGTAAAACTTCACAAGTTAATTTCCAGGGAATTTGTAAATTGCACCAAAAAGTAAATTTTGGGCTTGTTATTTGTCGTTTAATATATTTGAACTCTTTTATCTTTCTTTACTCTGACTTTATTTTTAGGTCTCATATCTTTAACTGAAACAACCTTTAAATGTTTTGTTTAGAATCTACATCAAAATTTACTGTATAGAGTTTTTAAGATTGATAAGTTGATATTCTTTTCATCTTCAGGGTAAGTAAGAAGTAATAAATAGCCTGAAAAGGTTGGTTTGAGAGGAAATTCACCTCTCTCTCTCTCTCTTTCGTTTTAATGCTCTCTTCAAAAATAACAAAACATGATTAGTTGGAAAGAGTTGCTCCATCATGTCATGTTAATTTAAGACGTGAGCTGGGTGAGTGGGTATATCTCTTAAATTTCACTATACCTCCCTCTCCAATAATCTATTTTATACTAGAACATTATACATTCGATGGGCCTAAACTCTTGTACGCTACGTTATCTATAAGATATTCCACATATATATTAAGCAAGTAAAGTTGGACATATGAATGGTTATACAATATTAGTTTTATTTGAGCCCGTTCCAGTCACTACATCTCTTCATGAGAGTAGGGTAAACACAGAAACAAACAAATCAATAAATCACATAATTATAACATAGTTGTTTCACACATATATACGTTGTCAACATCACCAATCGATCAGTTTCATTGGATGACATACGTAACCATTTCAAAATGTACTCATCGATTGTAGACAATGCATAAGAGTATAACATTCAAAACAATTCCATTTTAGGAGAAGAAGCAATAGTACCACTTCTAACATTTATTACATCAAAACAACAACAAGACCAATCTTGATGGTTTTTTAGTTGGCAGCATCTATTAATGTTTCTCTAGTCTTAAAACCCACACAACCAACATAAATACACACATGTTACTTAATTGAATCTAGCTACATATCCATTGTCAGCGCTCGACTCAGTGTATATATATTAACACCCTCCATATGCTCTCATATTATTCGTCATCTATTCCCATCTCTCTCAATAACGATGTATATCAATTACTCTCCACTAGGGTTTCTCATTTCACTCTTCATTGTTACGTTTCTTGCTCCACAAGTCAAATCCAGGGCTTTCTACGTCTTTGGTGACTCTCTCTCGTTGACAATGGAAACAACGATTACCTTGTCACCACTGCTCGCGCTGATAATTACCCGTATGGTATCGATTACCCGACCCGTCGACCCACTGGACGTTTCTCTAATGGCCTCAACATACCCGACATTATCAGTAAGCATTATAGAACGATTAGAATTTATATAAGATAATTATTCTTTAACAATGTTTTAATGTTTTTTTATCTTTACTAGGTGAGGCTATAGGCATGCCGTCGACTTTGCCGTACCTTAGCCCGCAGCTTACCGGAGAAAATCTTCTCGTCGGCGCTAACTTCGCCTCCGCCGGTATCGGAATCCTCAACGACACTGGAATTCAATTTGTAAGCAACTTCAAGAATTATTCAGCTAGTGCATTAAATAGCACATAATTTAATGCATTAAATACCCTCATCCGCTCATATACTTTCTATGATATACATATTTATGTTTCTATATATTTTTATTAGTTAATAATGACAATTTGTATATTTTTAAAAAATAATTGTATTTATTAAATTTTTATTGATTTTAAATTATAGAAAATAGATAATCATAAAATAAAACGTACATTTATAATAAAAAATAATTATTATGTTTAATCAAGTCATTGTACGTAACTCTTGTTAAGTTGCGCTCATTCAACTCATTCTTGAATTGTGAATTATGTTTTTGTTGGGCAGGTAAACATAATTAGAATATCTAAGCAGTTCGAATACTTCGAACAATACCAGCAACGAGTGAGCGCGTTGATCGGACCAGAAGCTGCACAACAGCTAGTTAACCAAGCTCTTGTCTTAATCACACTCGGTGGCAACGATTTCGTCAACAACTATTATCTCATTCCTTTTTCAGCTCGTTCTCGCCAATTTGCGTTACCCGACTACGTTGTTTATCTCATTTCCGAATACGGAAAGATCCTTAGGGTAAGTATAACAAAAACAAAACTTATAACCAGCTTTTATATTTTATTTTCACATGATAAACTTAGGACCGGTGCAAAAAATTGGAGACTGTATGCAGTTTACTAAGAATTTTTTATTTTATTTAAAAGTAAAACTATTTTCCAGATCTATATTTATGTAAATTATCTTTTAAATTTTAGGAGTTGTATACCAATATTTTACCTGTTTATGTCCAGTACCGGCTGTAGATGAATTGGTTTATAAAGTGTGCCATATTGTAGTAGTTAGTTGGTGACTTACACGAAACTAGCTAAAATCGTGTAATCTTAATTCTTGCAATACCAGTTCTTTTTAAAAAAATTGTTGTCTCAGTAGCCTATAATAAGTGACCCCTCAATAATTTATTCCTCTACGTAGTTAATGTCATTATTATCTTGAAAAGGGGTAACATTAACTTCTTGTTTTAAAAATGTACGTACTAATAATTGACTCTTTTTTCATAGTGCACGATTGAGTATTTGCTTACTTATTATGTCTTCATTGATAAAGAAACTCTACGAGTTGGGTGCAAGGCGGGTTCTAGTAACCGGAACTGGTGCGATGGGATGTGCACCTGCGGAACTGGCTCAGCATAGCCGCAATGGTGAATGCTATGGTGCCCTCCAAACAGCAGCCGCTTTGTTCAATCCGCGATTAGTTGATTTGATCGCATCAGTCAATGCTGAGATCGGCCAGGACGTTTTTGTCGCAGCCAATGCTTATCAAATGAACATGGATTATCTATCTAACCCTGAACAATTTGGTAATTATAACTCATCTCTTATTAGTTGTAATTAATTAGAAAATAAATTATTAGAGTAGATAAATGTTTTAAATAAATATTGACCAGTGGGTTGGGTCAAGCGATCTAAGATTTAATGATATACTAGATTTTGACCCGCGCTCGAAAGCCTGGAAATTTTTTTGATTGAAAGTTTATATAATTAGGTTTTGGCTTTATTTAAAGTATGTTTTGGTATAAAATCAATAATCCAAAATTTGTGGTGATGATTGCTTTGCATTAGTTTTTAATTTCAGTTTTTATTTTTAGATTTGGTTTTAGATTTTGGTTTTTGGTTTTTAATTTTTAAGTTTCTAGTTTTGATTTTCAGCTTTTGGTTTGAGTTTTTAGCTTTTAGATCCGCTGAGTTAGTTTGAACTCATAATTACCAACAAACAAATCCCAAAGAATCGAACATCTAATTTAAAACTGAAAAGATGAAAATTTTTATTTTTAAAAAATGCAATAGTTTTTTTGTGTAAATAAAGAAAACAAAAGGAAAAATATAACATGCGTTTTCAGCTTTTGGTTTTGGATTTTAATTTTTAGATTTGGTTTTTAGTTTTGCTTACATTTTTTTTTAAATCAGTAAATTATTTAAGAAAAATAATAAAAATAAACTATTATAAAAGTTACCATTGAAATTTATCAAGATAGAGTGATTGTTATTTAAAATAAAAAATATTAACATGTTTTAAAGTACATGATTTAAATAAGTGATTAATAATATATAATTTTGTTTTGTTAAAATATTAAATACTTTTGGACCTTAAAATAGTAATTGATTTTTTGATCCATTAATGTAGAACATTTATTCAATGTTTTTTGGAGTTTTTCTTTAATACTAAGCCCAAAACATGATCAAACTATATAATTTGTCATAAAAACAAAAGTAAGCCCAAAACTCTATTACATAAATAACTGTCGGTTTATTTTTAGTAATGCGGTTCAATCAACTATATAACTTTTATTATTTGTAACACTCTAGAAAGGGTCCAAATTTAAATAACAACGTATATATCAGTAGATAAAAGGAATGACTCTATTTTAATAGAGTAGAAGCACAAAATTAAATCAAGGGCCACTTTCCTGGAGTAGTGATAGTTAATTATGTTTGATTGTATGCGTACGTAAATTAATAAATGAGCATGACCACACTTTATTTGTGCACCGAGCATGACTATTATTTAGGACCATCTTTTCCAACATGTTACGATTACAGTTATATATAAACCTGATTTTTAAATAAAATATATTGATATAAGTATTCAATATGTATGTGTCGGTTTGTATACATATAATCAGTACTGTATCATTTTGTTATAAGTTTTGGGAACAGGAACTGCTGGTCTATAAATAGTTGCATTTGAAAAAAAAATATCCACTATTTCACTTGAAATCATTATAAAACCATACATGATACATACAAGCATAAAAAAAAGAAAAGAATATTGATGGTCGTTGTTGAAAACATTTACTTTATATGTCTGGATTCTAGATAATTCAGTACTGTACATTAAACACATATTCTACAAGTGTTAAAATTCAAGTATATATTTTTGTGTGTATATACATATATATGCAAAAAGATATACTTCTACATTACAATCTGTAGTTATAAATACACCTTGGTTTGAACAGTTACATGTATATATCTGTGTAGGGTTTGTGACATCAAAGGTGGCATGCTGTGGACAAGGACCGTACAATGGCATAGGACTATGCACACCAATCTCGAACTTATGTCCAAACAGAGATTTATATGCATTTTGGGATGCGTTTCATCCGACAGAGAAAGCTAATAGGATCATTGTTAATCAGATCCTCACTGGTTCCTCCAAGTATATGCACCCTATGAACCTTAGTACCGTCCTGCTCCTGGATTCTTCTAAAATCTAATCTAAATATTCAATCAAATGTCAAGGTCTTGCCTTTCGTAATTTGAATTGTTGGTTATAATAAGTTCGATCAGCAAAATTAGTTTAATGAAGAGACTTTTATGATTCGTGATGTTGTTTGATGTTTCTTCTTGGTGTAACCTGGTCAATTAGCTTATTTTAGTCTTATTTTTATATGTGTGTGCCAATTATCATGTAACTTCTGGGGTGGTTGTTATATGGATTTCTTTTCTACAATCGAGATGATTATATATAACTAAGAGATGCGCCACGGTTATAAATGTTACTCCATAAAACATGCATTAATGCATATATGTATGCATGCTATAATTGAGGATCTATGTATATGTACTTTTGCCATAGATCAGTGTGGTAATGAATCATAAATATGCGAAGGAGGAGATGAGTACAGTTTGTTGAGGCATTTCGCAGACACTGAAATGTGAATAATAGTAAGGAATTGATTTGTAGTTGGTGAAGTGAGTGAAATTTTCATGTCCATTGCATATTAAGTATAACTATATAATAGTATAAATTATAAAATATGAGAAGATTTATATTGTTGAATATTCATTTATTTTTGATAGACCCTTATCAATCATATCACAGTCTAACCATAGCTACAACATTGTATTGTATGTTTGGTCTATAGGTCTTTTCGTATAAATGGTTAGGTTTAGGATTGTTATTTTTACATGTAAGTTGACTTTCCATTTCCGACGTTTCTCACTGCACTCAGACGCTTCTGCTTCTGCACAATGGGTTTGTCTTCCACCAACAGGAGTCCCGATAAACATCTTTTCCTGGATCATATGGGCTATATATGGACAACGCATAACCAACTCATGTTCGAATCGCGACACCAAGCACCTTCATCTGTGATTACTCTTTTGGCAAAAACTACTCTATGTAATATGATTTCTTCCTGGGCCTAGGCCTAGAATGCTTTATTTATGAAAGTTGGTTGTTCAAAAAAAAAAAGGTTTGACTTTATTTGTGTAGGTCTCCTTTCTCTATTCTGTTTTATAATTCCACTGAGTAATGAAGTTCGGATACATGTTTATAATCGACATCACATCTATAACAGGAACATGATCATAATCATGCTGATATGAATTTATCCAAATTGTACGTAACAATTAACAAATGTTGACATAATTTTTGTTTGTAGTTTTACTTTAACAATTCTGATACTGTTTCCATTTCATTACTTATTATAACCATGTATTATATGATAAATTATTTAAGAAGCCATTACAGACTCAGCTTGTGAACTCTGAGCGAAACTTAAGAGCTAATCATATGGAATAGTAGTGTTGACGCATTTTGCTATGCTTAATTTGCTTAAGCATGACTTCTATGCTCCGTGATGATATTTTTTTATATCCTAACACATATGGATTCGATAATGATCTTATCAACCTTTCAACAAGACCATTAGCTCAACCAACAAAATACTGAAAGTATATAATCTTAATTATATAATTCTTATGCCGAAAATATCATACACAATTCTTTCTTAATTTAGTTTCTTTATACACAATATGAACAAAATGAATACGTACAAAGAATATATATATAGAATCTGGTTATGATCACACTATATAGATGAATTAATAAGATATGCTTTTCACTTGTGTTTGCTTATGTATTCTTAATATTTGTTCACCATATTGACTGGTTGGTGTCGTATTAGTTTGTTAAGACAACTCAGTGCACCGATATAGATTACATTTCAGGATAATTCATGTAAAAAGATACTTTTGCTTAGTGGCATGAAGATATGCCTCTTTCACTTTTTTCAGCTATAAATTTCGATCGATTCTCTACGTTCTTCACACAATTCACAATCTTCTTTAGAATCCAAAATCGTAAGCCACTTTCTATTCTTTTCTTTTTTTCAGTATACATATGTAATATATGTATGCAGATATATTATTATATACAAACACGAAACCATGCATGCAAAGAAGATAGTTACACAGCTGATAACACAAACAAAACATACACATGCATTAGAACACTTGTGTATTAATTTCCATAATATTTCGTTTAAACTTTCTTCTTTTTAATTTGATTCTTTTTGTGTGAAGATTGTTTGAAGATGGCATCCACGGGAGGAGATATCGAGCAAACTAAGTCAGTGGAAGTGAAGAAGAAACTAAACGTGTTGATCGTCGACGATAGTGCACTAATCCGTAAATTGCACGAGGCTATCATCGAAAAGTTGGGGGGAATTTCGCAGACAGCTGAGAACGGTGAGGAGGCAGTGAACATCCACCGCAACGGCGATGCATCTTTCGACCTTATCCTAATGGATAAACAAATGCCCAAGATGGATGGAGTTTCGGTACAATTAATTAGCTTAATTTCTGAAAACGAAACATATAATTTAACTAGTCCCGTCGTCAATACACTAATTAACCTCCTCGTTGATATACTTTTTTATGTTCTTTAATTTTTGGGTTTTATGTAGGCAACTAAGAAGCTAAGAGAAATGAAAGTGACGTCCATGATTGTTGGGGTGACGACACTAGCTGCGGATGAAGAGGAATATAAGGCTTTCATGGATGCTGGACTTGACCATTGCTTTGAAAAACCCTTAAGCAAAGACAAGCTCGAACCTCTCATCAACAAACTCATGGATGCTTGATGGATGGAGGGACTTGTCGCCAGTATGATCTACGTTATATAAATATGAAAACACATAGTAGCGGCAGCTTATGCACGATGTGTGTGTATGCATAGATATATATATCCGCATGTGTGTGTGTTTTAAGGTTTAATGTTTATATTTTAATTGTGTGTGGCGTGATATATAATCATGTAAGTCGTTATTTATAAAATAAGACTTCTTATGATCAGATGAATTCAATCTCCATTTCAATTAACTAGATATACAATTGGTACATTCAATTTGCAATCTGCTAAAATACATACATATATTAATTAATCTGATCGGATTATAGATTACATCCGTAGCTTAATAATAGTCAAAACGTCTTCGTTGTTCATCTCAATTTGTCCTTTTTTGTTTGTTTGTTGTGTAGTTAGATTTTTATCTATTCGAGACAAAACCACTTATGTATAACTTATAGAAAATATTAGATACTAGAAGAGAGAGTGTAAATAAGAGTTTGTAACGAAAGCTGGAGTTTTATTATTTTAGCTTGTTGAGTCTTCTAAGAACTCTTAACGCGTTTATCTTTAAATGTAATATTCACATCTAACTAAAAGCAAGAGGAGATGAACTTCAAATCCAGTCGTTAAAACTTTGCTAAACTAAGCTTTTTGCCAATTAGCACATAGGTTTGATATGAAACAGCAATTAGAAGTTTTTCTTTTGTCTTACACATTCGGTTACACGTCTGGTCATATAGCCACAATATCACTTCAAATATAGATAAAACTTCTAAACGTTTTTAAAAAACTTACTTTGATTCTTTGTACACAATTCTAAAAAGAGGCATTCTATAGAGAGACGAAATTGCTAAAAACTTTGGCCAACTAACAAAAAGACAATTTAAACAGCTGGTTTGGCTGTGATGGATCATCTGATGCTACCTGTTAATTCTGTTCACACTATAATCAACGAGTTTGTAAATCGAAGAGCATTGGAAAATGTATCTCAGTTTAATTAATTAGTTACTTAAGCATCTACTCTTAATTTTCTCTTTAATAGTGGTTATAATTAGTTTCACATGCTTTGGTTGTGATAGTGTTTCACGACTTCCTTTTTTTGCTGGTGTCGAATGTTATAATTAAGATTGGTTTAAGTATTCTAGCTTTAGAAATTAACAATGTTAATTAGGGTTTTTGATGAAGTGAAAGGGTGAACATGTTAGAAAACTACCTAGTGTGTTAATGTATCTCTATCAGTGCGAGAGAGAACACTTGTCTGGTAATTACTCTTTGTGGTTTGATACGTTTTTCACAAGTTGAATTTTATTTGAGTTTTGTTATTCATCCAACTCGGATTTATTCCCGATTTAACTTAAGTCTAACCATCAGTCCGGTCAAGCCGAATCATGTCAATTTTGGAATCGTAGATGTGAATTCACTCAACTAACCTCACTTGGAAGAAAAATCTTAACCGGTTTTTTGATTCCCAAAATCATATAACACTACAAAAAAATGTTAGTACATCATTTATTTTTAATATTTGTATTAGTTATAACTGATGTGTAATAATTTTGTTGAAATAGATGTTTGTCTTAATCTGTGTAAGTTATTCTCTTTCTTTTTCATCAAACTTTTATAGAATATTCTAAAAATTGATTAAATAATACTATATATTAATTGAGAAATCACTTAAGTAATTTTGTTTGTGTCAATCATATATGAAGTTTAAGAATATTGTTATAATTTGATTGACCGATGATTTTTAATTTTTATATATTTTAATAAATCTAAAATAGTCAATCTTAAACTAATTAATGTTAGTCGCCAAACAATGCATATGATTTTATGCATAATCATTTATAATATCTAACTGTAGAAGTTATGAAAATTATACTCCATCTGTTTCATATTACATGATGTTTTGTGTTAATGCACAAAGATTAAACAGTTTATTTTTTCTGAAGAAAATAGTTTTAAAAATATAATTTAAAAATCATTTAACCAATTACCAAAATGATTATATCTCTAGTTGGTTACTTTTCAATAAAGTTAAAAATAACATAAATATCAAAATATCATATTTTGAAACAAAAAAAATCTTCTAAACACACATATATTCTAAAACTGAGGGAGTATATAGTACTTCTTCATTTATATGGATTCACTAATAATCTATTTATTAATTGCATAATGTATATTTTAAAAATTAGTTGTTAAAACTAATTTAATAGTTTATTTTCTAATAAAAGTCATAATATATATAGATAAAACATATAATTTAGATACAAAGATATTATAATAACTATTATTGATAATAAAACGAATTTAAAGATTATTAACAGGAGTTTAAAATCTTCATAGTATATAATTAATTATAAAAATTTATGGTAGCTAATTTTTAAAATTATAGAAAGTGTAATAATGTTTGATTAACTGTTTTCATATTTATATACTACATAGAAATTAATAGAAAACAATTTATAGCAATAGATATAATGATTTCATATTCATATAAAAATATAGATGTATCTATAATAATTACTAATCCCTATAATGTATTCTTATAAATAATTAGGCTTTAACGATTGGACGGATTATATTTAACGAAACATGTGAGAATTTAGCTTTACAAAATATTTTTCATTTAAGTCAAATAATATAGTTAATAAAGCAATGTTATGATTGAAAATAATTCTAAGATGGAATTTTGGTTCATTGATTGCATGATTTTTATTACTATTTAGATAAAAATAAATATTTGGAAAAAATATGTAAAAAAATAGGAAAAAATTAGCAACAAATAATAAAACGAAATAATAACGAGAAAAAATAAAAAGAGTCCAAAGAATATGCATAATATGTATTGCAAAATTTAAAGTGAAAATTACATATATAATTCCACATGCATTTTTTGATAAAGTGAAAGGGTGAACATGTTAGTAAACTAACTAGTGTGTTAATGTATCTCTATCAGTGTAAGAACACATGTTTGGTAATTACTCTTTGTGGTTTAATATGTTTTTCACAAGTTAAATTTTATTTTGAGTTTCATTATTCATCCAACTCGGATTTATTCCCGATTTAACATAAGTCTAACCATCAGTCCGGTCAAGCCGAATCATGCCAATTTTGGAATCGTAGATGTGAATTACTCAACTAACCTCACTTGGAAGAAAAATCTTAACCGGTTTTTTGATTCCCAATATCATATAACACTACAAAAAAAAAATGTTAGTACATCATTTTTTAAAAAATTTGTATTAGTTATAACTGATGTGAAATAATTTTGTATCATTTAAATAAATGACTCTGAAAGTGATGATGCAAATAATAAATATTATTTTATTAATAACTGATATAAAAATACTGAATATTTGCATTATTTAAATAACTGATGTCAATATATATCATTTATGAAAAAGTGATGTTAACTATTGCATCAATTTTGCTAAATGATGTTACAATTAATAACACTTCTTATATATTAAAATAGAAGTCACAATCTTTATTCATGTGTGATTTTATTAAAAACGGACCCTCGCTAGAAATCAGTTATTATTTATTTATTACTAATAACATGACTTAATAATATATCATAACTAATATAACCATCAACTCCTACAAAACAGGAATGGTAAACATCACCAATTTTTAATCCTTATTAAATGTAAAATCAATTTATAGATAACAAGGATGTAAACATTATCAAACCAGTATGTGGACCAATACATTATCCTATTGTTATTATTTTGAACATGCAATATAAACTAAATTTCGACTAACCGTTTAGACTAATTGTTATTATTCTGAATGTGCAATATAAACCAAATTTCGACTAACCCTTTAGACTAACGACGAACACTATACCAAATGGGTTTAATTAATCACGATATGTATGCTATGTTTATAAAACAAATTACATTCATCAGATCTAAATTACAGACTAACTAATTGCACCATAAAATTTTATAGGCACAATGTATTATAGTGTTAAAAATTTGATGTTTTTAACCGTATACCAAAAAAGAATTATCTATTACCAATGTGATTTAGTTTTTAACAGTATGTCCAATCTGATTTAAATTTTATATATATTTCAAATTTAGAAATAAAAATATTTAAAATAGTATTGTTACATAATTATGTTTTCAAAACAAAATTTGTTACAAGAATACAAAATTTGATTTTTTTTATAGTAATAATAATATCACAAATCACATAAACACAGGTATAATAAAATTAGATAATACATAATACTAAACTATATTAATTTATTGATAAATTTTGTTTTATAAACTAAAATGATTTAGTATAGAAAATAAAACCCGCATGGTTGTGCGGGTCGAGATCTAGATAATTGATTTAATATATTATCATCACACTTGTATATAATAGCCACAACCCGGTTTATCTTACCTAGATCCTAAATCATTTAATATAATCCCATGGACACCTAGTATTAATGGGCCTTTAAAAATCATTATAGCTAAACCTAGTTTAAGCCCATTATCACACCGACCTATATAAAAAGCTTAACACTCGTCTCAGAGTCCTAGGGTTTTCTCTTTGGCTGCTGCTGCTGCAAGTGAGTGACAAAAACCCTAAACCATGGCGACGAAACAAGCCAAAGAATCCGTTCAATGCTTCGGGCGTAAGAAGACGGCCGTCGCCGTCACACACTGCAGACGCGGCTGCGGTCTGATCAAGCTCAACGGCGCCCCAATCGAGCTGTTCCAGCCAGAGATCCTCAGGTTCAAGATCTTCGAGCCGGTGCTTCTCCTCGGCAAGCACCGTTTCGCGGGTGTGGACATGAGGATCCGTGTCAAGGGCGGTGGTCACACTTCTCAGGTCTACGCGATTCGTCAGAGTATCGCTAAGGCGCTTGTGGCGTTTTACCAGAAGTATGTTGATGAGCAGTCGAAGAAGGAGGTTAAGGATATTTTGATTAGGTATGATAGGACTCTGCTTGTTGCGGATCCGAGGAGGTGTGAGCCGAAGAAGTTTGGTGGGCGTGGTGCTCGTTCTCGTTTCCAGAAGAGTTACCGTTAAAAAAAAAACCAAATCTGGTTTGTGTTTTTTTTCTTTTCTTGTCTGAACGTTTTGAGGACATGAGTTGTTGAGTTTTTGTCTTTATGGTTATTGGATAATGTTTCGACAATGTTTGCTCTTTATTTATTGAAGAACTTCTCAAGCTTTAATAATCTTTTGTCTCTTTTTACTCGGATTGATATTGTTCGCTAGGAGCCTAGTAGTAAGAGCTGATTAAATGATCTAGAGGATCGTTTCCTGACACTTTGATTGATGATATTCATTTTTAGATTACGGACATTGAGTTAGTCTGCCTAAGTGTATTTCCCAATAACGTAGTTGCAGTAAGTTTCGGTTCTACGCAAGCTTTATTGGTTTTGAAATGAAAGACTTTGTAGAAGAATGAATGTTAGTAGTCTCGAATAACTTAGGAAATATTATACTTAATGGATTTGTTTTAGTGAGAATGGATGTAGTGTAGTTATCTTACAATGATTGTTCTGTGTATTTCTTATTTTTCAGATTTTTTTGGTTCTACATTTGAACTTAGAAGCAGTGTTAGCCTCTTTTTTCATGTCGATATTCTTAGCTAATGGAATTAGGAAACGAACATTGCTGCAGATTGTGAGATTATGCGTTTGTATGAACTAATTTAATTATCTTTAAGCCAGCGTTTTAGCGTTTAAAATTTGAAAACGAATATAACATCGAACAATTTGAGGGAAAGATAATGGAGAATGAGGATGATAAAAAATAAGGAGGTTCAATATGGTCTTATTATTGGCTTTGAGTCAGCATCGTAAAACAATGCGTCAGCGAACAAAGTTTGAGGACACCACCCATTACAAAAGCAACAACAATTAAATAGAAGGTTATGCATAGACTTCAAAAACATGAAAACGGAATGCCGAGAGGGACAAGGTTTCTCACAATGAAAAGACCTGTGATCTCAATCAAAACCAACCCCGAGCTCAGGGCAAAGAAGGGGACACAAGCTATTTAAGAAGGTTCTTTATCGTTGTGATTCATTTCCTGTGAGCACTGGAAAGACAAACGTGGTTACAAACATACTTCTGGTTGACCCGAAGGCATTGGTTCAAGCTTATGCTTATTTGGATAGTAAAACCAAACATCTCCCAGGGAGTGTAATTCCTATGAAGACATACTCAATTGTTTTATCTAAAAATTAAGAAATCACGTAATTATGTGCGCTTGAGTATAATTTAACTCATTATTAAATAAAGAGAGCAAATCATACAACGATCAGCATGTTGTCCGGCCAGGTGTTGGGTCACACAAGAAATCCAAAAGATTAGGGTTCCACGAGTTAACATGCACTGAATCATTCCGATTTTTCCTTTTGAAAGGCTTATCTTCTCGCCACTTGTCCTCTTGATGCATCCATCAATTGATATTTCTTTTACTTGACCGATACGATCACACAAGTAAAGTTGATTAATGGATTTGGTTTTTTTTTAGTATACCTGGTTTGTAGCTTGTGTATGATATCAGCACTACATTTAATTTTCTGAAATTCAATGTAGTGCGGTTAATGTGTTTTTGGGTGATTAATGTTTGGTCATGTGTGCAAGTATAAAATGTGCATGCTAGTTTGTATACTTTGATCTCCAATCGAATCATAATCTTTTCTCCTCACGTTATAAATTTCAATGTATATGATCAAACTTCAGATTCAGGACTTAAATGATATGAATCAGATGGAAAAATTACAGATAAGTTACGAGTGAGTAGTCATATCATAATTTAGACAATCTTAAACAACTGTTAAGTTCATCGGCACAAATAGGATGGCAATCAGTTGGCTCAACTTGAGTTTGTTTTCGATACAATAAAATTAATTTTATTTTAAAATAACTGCTGTTTTAGAATTCTGATTGAATTAGATATGAATTTTTTTGGCTAATATCAGTAAGGCACCTGTTTTTATAAGAAAGTAAAGGAGTGACTGGTTGAATGTAGATACATGTTTTATCTTTAACTTTTATCAACATCTTTTAGAATTGCAAATTTTAAAGTTACACCAAAACAAATTAAAAAGGGCTGTAAGCTTTTTATTTACTAAATCAATATTTCGTGTGTTGTAGGAAAAATATATGGCTGTAAAAATATATTACTTTTTATAGTTACAGCCGGTACATCTACAAAAAAAAAATTCAAATTAAATTTTACATCACCAACTTTAAGTTACAACCCAACTAATCACCCCTAAGAGAATAATTCATAGAACAAGTCTGTGTTGTTAACTCATGGAAAATGTCAAACCAACACACATATTAGAATATTGGAGAAAATATTCAAAAGCCAAGATTATCAATTTTCCGGTTAACAATGTTATGATGCAAACACAAACTCAGTTTCAAATGAAACGATCAAGCTTTACACGTTGATGATCAGAAAGTATAAGAATGGAAGTCCCAAAATTCCAAATTTTCTTATAATAGACCTTGATTTTCCTTGGAAACTCCGTTAAGCGATTATGTATATCTTAGATGAAGTTTACTACTTGTAAGCTAAAATCAGATGCTTTTAGACGGCTTCTTTGGGGTATATATAGCGCATGCATGATTCTCATGCAGCCTCATCCAGTCCACAAAGAAACGTAAAAAAAAAACACACACACACACAAGCATTTTTATTTGAAAGCACAATGAAAAGTCTTCTTCAGTTTCTTATAGCTAAAATCATCTTGTTGGCCTTAGCATCTCCAATTGTTACTTGTTACGACCCATCTCCTCTTCAAGATTATTGTGTTGCCATAAACGATACAGATGGAGGTATTAATTCTCTATATGTTGCACATACTTACATGGCTCTAATATCTTTTATACCATATATGTTACCGAAACATGTTGCATATAGCTCATAAATTTCCCTTATACATATACATCATTGATACAAGCTGCATATTTAGTACGAGATTTAATAAAGAAAAAATTAATTAATAATTTGGAGATAATTTGACGTATCTTAACTCTGAAAATTTTGAGAGTTCCAGGTTAGTATTTTATCCGGTTCGGTGCATATATTATCTCATGATATCTTCACCATACAATTATTTTATTTAAACCTCAACTCAACACTCTTTATTTGTATTTTTCGCAGTTTTCGTGAATGGAAGGTTCTGTAAAGATCCAACACTAGTAACGTCCGATGATTTCTATTTTTCCGGCCTAAACACCCCCGGAAACACCACCAACCGCCTCGGCTATTCGGTCAGGGATGTCGATGTCCGAAGAGTCCCTGGTCTCAACACTCTCGGGATAGCCATTGCCCGCTTTGATTTCGCCCCGGGAAGTCAAATCCCACCGCACATACACCCACGTGCCTCTCAAATAATCTTAGTCCTCAAGGGAAAGCTCTTTGTTGGGTTTGTTGCCTCCAACGACTACAACTACACGCTCTTCTCCAAGGTTCTTTACCCCGGAGATGTCTTTGCTTTTCCCATTGGTTTGGTTCAGTTTCATGCTAATATTGGGAAGACGAATGCGGTTGCCATTGGTGCAAATGGGAGTCAAGACCCTGGTGTGGTGCCGATAGGTAAAACGCTTTTCGGGTCGAACCCTTCGATGGACCCAAAGCTTTTGGCTCAAGCTTTTGCGTTGGACGTTAACACTGTGAGATACCTCCAAAGGGTGTTTTCTTCCGAAGATTACATACTTAATTAGTTCAAAAGAATTACTGAAAACATATCGTGAATTTATAAGTATATAAGCCAACGTTCAAAAAAAAAAAATTATAAGTATATAGTATTAAAGTATATAATATCTACTGTACATAGAAAATATAGCAAAAATGATGAAAGTGTGTTGGAAATAAATATGTATGCGTGTGCTCATATAAAAACAGTTTGTACCAGATTATTAAAGTTAATGAATGATTAATACAAAATACTGTCTTTTAAATTTAAGATCATGGGATATAGAGGTTAACCAGCCTGTTTATACAATTAATTTTGCATATTGTTTATATAAAAATACAATTACCCATACACGTAATCATATTTCAACCAATACAAAAATAAATTACAGAATAAAGTTAACAAATTTTGTTTTTTTTTTTTAACATCATTAACAAATTTTGTATTAAAAGTCGAAAACGACACTTATTTTCTAACGAAAAAAATTCTTTACAACGATACTTATTATAAAACGGAGAGAGTATTTAATATTAAAATTTGATTAAGAAATTTTTATATTAAATGGGTTTCTCACCAAATGTCTTAAACCTGTTGTATAAAAGATTAATGGGCTTTGCGTACGAAAAAAAAATGAATGTACAACAGAAAACGTCTCGTTTCCGCGTCAAACAATTCATAACACTTTTTTCTTTGTCTGTGAAAGTTCGCCGTCGCCGGATGGATCCACCACCGTCGTTACCTCACTATCAAAGCCCTAACTTTAACTTCCACCCTCAATATCCTCCTCTAAACCCTATTCCTAATTTCTCCTTCCAACCTCCTCCTCCTCCTCCTTTCCCAAATCCCAACACTTTCTCCATCACTCCGTCTCCTCCACCAATCCACTCCTTCTCCGATACCCTCTCCTCTCTACAGTCTCTAATATCAGAATGCCAACGCACATTAGCTTCACTCTCGGACAATCTAGCTGTAGACCACTCTTCTCTTCTCGGCAATGACGGTTTTGTTCGGTGCCCTTTTGATTCTAATCACCTAATGCCACCAGAAGCACTCTTCCTCCATTCACTTCGTTGCCCAAAGCCTCTTGATTTGTCTCATCTCCTTGGGTCATTCACTAGTTACAGGAACAAGCTCGAGTTACCGTTGAATAACGGAGACGGTGACAGTGACGTTTGTTTTGGGGACAACTTCTTCTACAAGGACTGCCCAGGCGTTGTTTACTTCTCTGGGATCGATGGTAACAAGCAAAGTTTAAGACTTTCTAGTGTACTGTCTGTGGAATGCGGTGGGTTTGAAGGTTCTTGTGAGAAAGAGAAGAAGAAGTCTTTAAGGCTCTTACCATCTGATGTATATGCAATGAAAAGTGAGATTGGGACATGGAGAGAGTATCCGAGTTCTTATTCATATAGTGTTCTTTCTTCGATTGTGAGTTTGAAAGTGAATGATATGAGTGAGTTAAGGACATGGATTCTGGTGAATTCAACGAGATATGGTGTTGTAATTGATACTTACATTAGGGATCATGTGTTCTTGCTCTTTCGGTTGTGTCTGAAAGCGGTTTTAAAGGAAGCTAGTGGGTTTATGATAGAGTCTGATGCTAATGCCGTTGGTGGGAAGGAGATTTTGAGCTGCAGAAGTAGAAGATTCGAGTGTCCAGTTTTGTTCCGAGTGTTGTCTTGGTTAGCTTCTCAACTTGCTGTCTTGTATGGAGAAGGAAGTGGGAAGCTTTTTGCTCTGGACATGTTTAAACAGTGCATTGAATTATCTGCCTCTCAGATTATGTTGTTCTGGTCACCTGAATCCTCTGGTGTTCTCGAGGTTTTGGATGATGCAAACTTCGGTAACGAGGATGTGAAGAGTGGGGAAACTTTGGAGAGTGCTCAGGTGATATCTGTGTCCCGTGTGGCTGCAGCTGTTGCAGCGTTGTATGAAAGATCCATGCTTGAAAGAAAAATAAGAGCAATTCGATATTCACAACCACTAACGAGATATCAGCGGTAGGCCTGATTTCAAAAGGGCTATTCTGTTTCCCCCACTTGATTCTTTGTCCATTTCACAGTTTCTGTCTCTATAGTGTTTAAGTTTCTTATCATGTTTGATTCCTCATGATATCAACAGGGTGGCTGAGCTTAGTGTTATTACAGCTAAAGCTGATGAGGAACGGAAGGGACGTCCAAACTACCGACCTATTATTGATCATGATGGTCTTCCGAGACAACGCTCATCAAATCAGGTTGATACTAAACTAAGTAGTAACTGTTATATAACATGAAAGAAACAATATTACTCTAGGGAACTTTTTTTGGAAGGAAGCGAGATGTACATTGTATTTTGTCTATAACGTGTAGGATATGAACAAAATGAAGACAAGAGAAGAGCTTTTAGCTGAAGAGAGAGATTACAAGCGTAGAAGAATGTCATACCGTGGTAAGAAGGTGAAACGTACGCCTCGACAGGTATGAACTTTCTTCCTTTTCCGTGTCCTTTATAAATCATAAGTCTTAGTGTTGTTAATATATGTTGCTGCAGAATGGTAGTCAATAATGTATATTTCTCAATGAATCTTTTAAAAGTAGTGTAGAATGTTTTGGCTCTACCATGTCCTGTTGATGCATCTTTGCAGTTCTTTTTTTGAGACAATTGAACGTTGCTATAATCTCACTTTCATAGGTATAAAAGTCTAAGACATTCAGTTAGCAATAAGGATAAGTGAGTTTGTCAATCTTTTGTCATGTAGGTGTTGAGGGATATGATAGAAGGATTTACAGAAGAAGTGAAGCTAGCAGGAGGTATTGGATGTTTTGAGAAAGGAATGCCATTACACTCCTCGTCTTCTATAGGCAATGATCAGAAGGGAAGTGTCTGTGGATACGATTCTGTATCAACAACATTAACAGACGCATCAGCAAGTTCTTATAAGCAAGGGAAAGGAAAGAACCATGCAGATAAGGAGGATACAATGAATATTAGAACAAATACAGATAGAGGAAAGCGGTATGAGGAATATGATTCAGGTAGCTCACAGAGACAGCAAAATCACAGATCATACAAGCACAGTGATCGAAGAGATGATGAATTCACAAGGACCAAACGACGTAGCCAGGAAAGGGAATCTTATCATCAAAACCACAGATCATCTCGTGAAAAGAGTTCTTCAGATTACAAAACCAAAAGGGATGATAGTTATGACCGCTGGTGTCCGGAAACTAGGGAGCAAAACTCGTTTGAAGATAGATACAATCCATCAAAAAGAGGTTGAAGTTAAAGAGAAGAGGTAAAGTCATTTGAAGTATTTCCTTATCACCATGTCTGTTGGTCTGAGGGGTGGTCTATTCCGATGATCTTGCAGTTAAAGTTTACCCGGAGCATCTGCAGTTTTGTGTGAACCCGTATCCTCTTTATGTATCCTTAACCATGATTTTTACCTTCTTGGATATATTTAAGTGTTAATCAAGACCTTATCTTTCGATACTCAAGTTTCTAGCTATTTCTCAAGTCCCTTTAGGTTTATAGATTCAGTGTGGTTACAACTCCTGTCTAGATAACTTTTCAGTGTTACTTTCTCTTCTGCTTGTGACAGATTGAAGTCAAGTCAAAGTATGTTCTTGCTATGAACAAGCCATGAACCATATGATTGCTTGCTAGGAAGAAAGGAGAACTCCAAAAGGGTATGTAATGGTGAGAGACTGTAAAGTTTACATTTCTTATACTTAAATGCAGTCATGTGTAGATATATATAATTTACTCGTTATTCAAATAATATAATGTAAATAATAGTTCCACATTTCCTTTACATAAAAACAATCTTGAAGTCTACACTACAATCTGGTTGAATAAACAACAGAATGAACAGTTTATGGATATGATCTTGTCTTGTCTTCTTTCTGAACCATAAAGAGACCACTTCTCATCACAATCTGCAACCTCATTTGTGTCTCTCCGTGTGATATCTTGGCTAATTATCTCTTAAAAAAGACACTCATTCACACATATTAGCTCTGCAAAACCTCTTTATCAGAAATTCAGAATAGTGTAAGTCGATTCATCAAGGCTGAGATAATGCTTAATCACCATTTGTTTCTATAATCTCCCTAGCTCAACTACATCTCCTCTCTTAAAGCAAGATCTCAGTCAGGGATGATACGTGTGAACGAACATCAGTAACATAAATCTTCAAACTTTCCATCTCCTTGAGAAGCTCAACCGCTTTCTCTTCCTCATCGTGATGACAAAACATAACGATCATGGAGTTGTAAGTAGATGTAAGCTACACCAAGCTTAGGCATCTCAACTCTGAAAACCCGCATTGGAAAACATGTATTTTACGGCTTCACTGACTCTATCACCAGCTCCACCTACAATAACGTTCCATATCTCCTCTGACTGTGAGGATTCATAAAGTGGTTCTCGTGATGGGTTGGAAGCTGTAGATAGATTCTGAGGAGTTCAAAGGATAGGGCAATGGAGGTTGGATGTTCGAGGCGTAACAAGGTGTCTCCAATGTGATTTTGAACAAGTTGTAAGCAGTACCAGTATATTCTTACGACTTCACACCTTGAAGATATGTTCTACAATGGCGATGAATCCGTGCTTCACCTTAGTCTTGAAAGGAGACTTCCACTATTGCGGTGCCAACCTTTCTGAAATCATAGAAGATGACGGTGATAGATTTGATAGTTGGGTCTATGTATAAATGCTCTTTCTATGAAATATTTTGATATTGAAACCAAACCGTGACTCAGTATATCATATAAAGAGAGGGAAGTAAATCTTATAAAACCATAAGTGATCCAAAAGCCAAACGTAAACGGACTCTTCAGTAAAACAACTGGGTCTACAAACTCGCACCACTTAGAAACCATATAAATCCGCAGAAAATTTATTTAAAAACGGCAAAATGCAGACATCATTCGATATCTTCTTCTCAGGTTTAGGCCTTTGACATGTGAACGATCAAGTCGACCACACGGGTGCTGTAACCCCATTCGTTATCATACCAAGACACCAGCTTCACGAAGTTGTCACTCAATGCGATTCCAGCCTTTGCGTCAAAGATGCTCGACCTGCTGTCACCAACGAAGTCAGTTGAGACAACATCATCTTCGGTGTAACCAAGGATTCCCTTTAATTTTCCCTCAGATTCCTCCCTGTATAGTTAACAATTCAACCAGTTAGTTATTTATTCACCAAGATATGATCAAACAAATGATTTAAGCAAAGCTGCTTAGCTTACTTGATAGCCTTCTTGATTTGGTCGTAGGTTGCAGCTTTCTCGAGTCTAACCGTTAGGTCAACAACTGAGACATCAACGGTGGGAACACGGAAGGACATTCCGGTCAACTTTCCGTTGAGCTGTGGAAGCACCTTTCCGACAGCCTTTGCAGCTCCAGTGCTGCTGGGAATGATGTTGAATGAAGCAGCTCTTCCACCTCTCCAGTCCTTCATTGATGGTCCATCAACAGTCTTCTGGGTAGCTGCGATCATAAAGCAAACTCCATTAGGTCAGACTTTCCACTAACAGGCAACCAGTTGTGTAGTACATTTACTAAAGATTAGTAAATTTACCAGTGATAGAGTGGACGGTAGTCATAAGACCCTCAACAATTCCGAACCTGTCATTGATAACCTACAGGAAGATACCAAAGATTGGAAACAGGACGAGGAAAAGTATTCTCTTACGAAGTTGGAAATACCAGTATCAGACTGGTTTGTAATTGGCAATTTTATACCTTGGCAAGGGGAGCAAGGCAGTTAGTGGTGCAACTAGCGTTGGAAACAATGTCAAGGTTGGACTTGTACTCGTGCTCGTTAACACCAACAACAAACATGGGAGCGTCCTTGCTCGGGGCAGAGATGACAACCTTCTTGGCACCACCCTATAAACAACATATCACCAAATCAATTAGTTATCACATAAGGCTGAGAAAAAGGTACAAGTAGAATCGATATAGCTAATATTACACAAACTCCTCGTAATAGCATATGAAACAAACTACAATGGTATACAACATCCAAAACAGATAAAAACAGACCTTCAAGTGAGCAGCAGCTTTGTCCTTGTCAGTGAAAACACCGGTAGACTCAACAACAAAGTCAGCTCCAGCCTCACCCCATGGGATATCCTCAGGGTTCCTTCACACAAAAAAAAAAATCACTTAGATACAATACACGTTCACACAATCCCCTATGAAGTTCTAAAAAAACAGCTAAACACACTGATAAAATATAATCATCTGGTGGATGTAAGTACCTGATGCCGAAGACAGTGACAGGCTTCTCACCGAAGAGAAGGGTCTTCTCATCCTTAACCTTGAGTTCATTGTGTTTCCATTGACCGTGAACACTGTCGTACTTGAACATGTACGTCTACAAAAAAATCATCAAACATGAAGAGCAATCAATTACGTTGTTTAAAATCTGACAAATATCTTATGCAATCAATCAAATAACAGACTAATCGAAAACATTGCAGATGCACCGATACAATCATCAGCAATAAAAAATCCAATCTAAGCACCTAATCAACATGAGACTCAACCAACTAAACCAGATCCTTGATATTAAGTACTGAGTATAAACATTCATGTCAACACTGAGAAGTGAGAGACACTAACTGAATCACATAAACCAACAGATCGAAATGAAATTAACTAATGCAGGACCAAAACGACGTCGAATGAAGGAAGGAAGGAAACGAACCATGTACTCAGTGGTGATGAAGGGATCGTTGACAGCAACGAGCTCAACATCGTCTCTCTGAAGAACAACTCTCGCTACCAAACGACCGATCCTTCCGAATCCTAGCGATTAATTACACAAACCAAAACGTCAGATTCAATATACGAAAGCAAAACAAACCTAATTAATTAGAGAGAGACTCACCGTTGATTCCGATCTTGATCTTACCGCCAGCTACAAACAAACAAAAAAATATTCGAGAAAATTATCAGAATACATAACAATCATCAATAGATTAGAGAAATCAAATCGATGAAAGAGATACTCACCCATTTTTCGAATCAAAGACGCGAGAGTGAGAGATAGAGATTGGAGATGAGATGTTACAAAGTGATAATGGTTAGTGAGTAAGTGAGTGAGTGAGATCCGAGAAGAGGGGGTTTGCTTTTTATAAGAGAGAGAAGAACGTGGCGAAGGGGTCGGGAAGATCTAACGGTGGATATTTTTTCTTGGTGAAAAAGTCAAAGATCTGATTCTATTTTTTTCTTTAAGAAAAAATGACGGAATTGCCCTAAGATGTAGAGAATTTTTGGCGAGTCATGGCTGATAAGTGTTCACTAGAGGCCCATTTCAGTATGCGATTTCAATGGGCCTATATGAATCGCATTTGGAACAGTGACAACTGACAAGAATATATCTGGCTAAGTTTATGGCAAAGCCACAGCAACTGAAACTAGTTCATAAACTCATAGAATGAAGGAAGTTTTAAAATTGCTAAGTGTATATATTGCAAAGCATACAGGAACATAATTGTTGAAAGATGACTAGTCACTTTAGAAATAATCAAAGTATTGAAACAAATTAAATAAATGATAAGTCTCAAACTAAATATTTTTCTACGATTGAATTCAAAGTTTGAAAAATAAGATATCACGACTGCGCTAAAATGAATTTTATAATCACGCGAAATGCATATATATATTATAAGATTCAAAATCAGGATCATATTAATTAGTCCATGGTGTTTATGTTTTTCGGCTGAGAATGTACAAGAACTTGACATATTAGTAAAAATACTATGTAAATAACTTAAAAATTAAGGTTACTTTTTTACCATTGTTCTTCAATTGATATATAATAGATATTTGTACCATTCATAGATCTTATTTTCTAAATGAAAACCGAAAGAACTTATTAGACTTCCTTCCTTAAATCTTATAAAACGATTAGACTTCATAATATCGTTGAATCTTGCAACGAACTTCCCAATCGTACCTTATTCCAGAAATTCTTTGGTTTCAAATGTCTCTGCCAAGACAAGCAATTCCTCTCTCGATCTCAAGATAGTAAAATGGGTTCAACGTAACAAGATTAGACTTATGTATTAAAATCTGTAACCTTAATTTAACTTTGAGAATTCGGCCAAAAAAAGCACCAACTTTGCACGAATTGCCAAAAGAAACATGTACTTTTGTTGACTTTATTAGTTTATTAAGAAACTTACGATTGATTCGCCATTTTAACACACAATTGAAAACGGCGTCGTTTTAAACGATTTGAAAAAAAGGACATAGACCCATGGATTTGAACCCGGGTTGATTGGATGAAATGGCAAGGTAATTTACCACTGGGCTAGTGACACATTCAATGTATCTATTAACACATTTACTTATATTTAGTACTGATTGAATATAAAAAAAATTCTATAAAAACTTTTTAAAAATCTTTAAAATTTTTAAAAAATGAAAATAAAGAATTTTTTTATAAAATTAATTTTGAAATTAAAATCAAAATAATTTTCTTTAATAAAAATCAGACGGGAACTTATAAAATTTTATTTTTCTTTTAATGTATCTATTAACACATTTATTTATATTTAGTACTGACTGAATATAAAAAAATTCTATAAAAACTTTAAAAAATCTATAAAATTTCAAAAAAAATCAAAAAATGAATAAATAAAGAACATTTTTTTTATAAAATTAATTTTTTTAAAATAAAATTTTGGAAGATTTTCAATTTTCTTAAAGAAAAATAAAATTTTATTTTAATTTAATTTCAAAATTAATTTTAGAGAAAATCTTAAATTTTGAAATTAAAGATTTTCTCTAAAATTAAAATAAAATTTTATTTTTCTTTAAGAAAATCAAAAATCTTCTTAAATTTTGAAATTAAAGATTTTCTCTAAAATTAAAATAAAATTTTATTTTTCTTTAAGAAAATCAAAAATCTTCCAAAATTTTATTTTAAAGAAAAATAAAATTTTATTTATTTTAAAATGAAGTTTATAAAAAAAAATCTTTATTTTTTCATTTTTTGAAATTTTAAATATTTTTTCAAGTTTTTATAGAATTTTTTTATATTCAGTGAGTATCAAATATAAGTAAATGTGTTAATAGATACATTGAAAGAAAAGTAAAATTTTATAAGTTCCCGTTTGATTTTTTAAAGAAAAATAAAATTTTGTTTTAATTTTAATTTCAAAATTAATTTTATAAAAAAATTCTTTATTATTCAATTTTTTTGAAATTTTAAAGATTTTTTAAAAGTTTTTATAGAATTTTTTTTTATATTCACTCAGTACTAAATATAAGTAAATGTGTTAGTAGATACATTGAATGTGCCAATAGCCCAGTGGAAACTACCTTATAATTTCATCCAATTAATCCGGGCTTGAATCTAGGAGTCTACGGTTTTTTTATTTTCAAATCACTTAAAACGATGTCGTTTCGTCGTTTCATCCTAACGTCAACAATTAACGACGTTAATTTTTTCTGTTAAATTTGTTGACGACGTGATAAATTGGCAAGTCAATGAAAACATCTTATATATTAAAACAGAAGTCATGACTTGATTTCATGTGTGATTTTTTAAAAAACTGGACTATTACTAGAAAGTTATGTTACATTAACTCTCTAATAATCTTATCATTATTATATCTTATGAAAAATCATATCTATAATAACAAATATATGCTTAACAATTTGGTTTTGGTAAATTACCCCACACCTTCCAACTTAGTCACACAAAATATGTTAATAGATATAAGTTTAGGAATCTACTATTATTTATAAGGAAATATGTCAATAATAGTTAAATGCATCTACAATATATTAACAAAATCACAGATTCGTAATATGGAATATTTATATACCCTAAAAACATTTACACGCTATATATACTAGATAAATTTATTTGGATGTAAAATTTTAAAATTATATTGTTTTAAAAAAAATTGTTTACAAAATTTCTTTTTAATAAAATTCTTTATAATATTAATTTATGAAGCTATAAGTTTAGTTTTTAGCAAAAATTTCTTTGAAGTTTATATTATCTTTGCAAATTAAAGTATACTAATATTTAATCAAGCTCTATTTATATTATTTTATCTAAAAATGAAATACTAATCTAACAAACAATAAAATGTAGAAGAAAAAACAAACACATGTTTGAAAAAACATGTGTAATATAGAAAATTAGAAACAATCTATTTGATTAAAACACGTATTATATAATATTATTATGTTTGAAAAACATTTACTATACATATCGTAAATATGTGATTACTATAATATATACCAATTTACAAGTGAAAACAAAATGTTTAAATAACTAACTATAAACGAAAACAAACACCCGCGCGGTTGCGCGGGTCAAAATCTAGTTGTTAATTAATTATAAAGTCAATGAAAAGTTTATGTTTTTTTTGGTCAGCCCAAAAGTTCAGGTTTCTTTTGGCAATTCGTGCAAAGTTAGTGTTTTTTTTGGCCGAATTCTCATTTAACTTTTGAAAGTTCTTCTCTTTATCGATTGATTTTTAAAGATAATCAGTATCTATTTACAAGATTTAATTGATTTTCTAACGCAGTAAAAATACGCATACTAATTAATAGAAACTTTAAAACTAAGCAGAGTCAACTGTTTGAGGTCGGTATGGTAGAATTACAACTCATTACTTTGAGGATACAGACAGAAACAAAGACCTTACAAGTCAACTCGTTTTCTCACTTAGTGCGCCCAAAAAAGATTCCACAATGAACAGAAACATTGTCGATAAGCTAAGTCTTTTAGCAGTATCTCTCTCTTGTATTGTAACTATAAAACAAGACATGAAAAGAAGAGTGAGTGACACAAAACAAAAAGCTCTGAGCAAAAAAAAATGCAGAAACCATGTCTTCTTCTCTCATGCTTCCTCTTCTTTTTGATTCCACAACTATCTTTCTCTTGCCCACCAGACCAAAGACAATCCCTTCTCGAGTTCAAGAACTTGCTTACTCAGAACATCAAGAACCAAACCACAGCAGATTTGGGAGGTTTAAAGACCTGGAGGCCAAACTCAGATTGCTGCAAATGGCAACTTGTGAGATGCAACACTCGTTCACTACAAGTGATTGAGCTGAATCTGAACTCACTTGTTCTCTCTGGCTCAGTGAGTTCAACCCTTCTGAGACCTGTTATGCGTATAAGCTCTCTTGTAACGCTAGATATCTCGTCTAATTTCATACAAGGAGAGATTCCTGGTGATGGTTTAGCCAACTTGACCAGGTTGGTCTCTCTTGACATGAGTCGTAACAGCTTCAACGGCTCTATACCTCTTCAACTGTTCTCCATCAAGACTCTTGAGCGCCTTGACTTAAGCATGAATGTTATTGGTGGTACGTTGAGTGGTGAAATCAAAGAGCTCAAGAATCTGCAGGAACTTATCTTAGATGAGAATCTCATTGAAGGAGAGATTCCTCCAGAGATAGGTAAGTTAAGAACTAATCTCAAAGTTTGATTATAGATGTAAGGGCCGTCTAGTAGTTAATAGCATGTGTTACTGGAGCAGTCAAACATAGTATGAGTTTAAAAATAATAATTAAAAAGTTTCAAAAATATATAGATAAAGTATGGTCTAAAACTTTAAATTTTTATATATTTAGAGCTGGTAATTTTTTTTTTTAAAACATCAAACATATATAGATAGAACTCTTAACCTTTAAAATTACTTTATTACATGGTTAAATATTTTGTTAATTTTTTTAACACAGCTTAGAACTAATTTAAGACGGCACTGATAGATGACATTTGTAGATGTAACTGACTTTATACTGTTTTGTGTGTGTTGTGTTACAAAGGGGGTCTTACTGAACTGAAGAAACTGTCACTGAAGCAGAACAAGTTTTCTGGTCCTATACCCTTGTCCTTGACAAAGTTAATGAAGCTTGAAGTGTTTAATCTCCAGAACAATACCATCTCCTTTAAGATCCCAGACGGTATTGGAAGCCTTGTCAATCTCTCAACTCTGTCCTTGAGCTGGAACAATCTCTCTGGTGGCATTCCATCATCATTTCAAAAGCTGACTAATCTCAAAACCCTTGAGATTGAGAATAACAAAGGCTTCTCAGGTGAGATTCCAACATGGCTGTTTAGTCTTGAGAAGCTGAAGATACTGAGGCTTGGAGGAAACAAACTCCAGTGGAACAAGAATGGTTCTGTCTTTGCACTCTCTAAGTTGACACATCTGTCACTTAGATCATGTGGCTTAGAAGGGAACATTCCAGACTGGCTCAAGAACCAAACATCTCTTCTGTACCTGGACTTGAGCATGAACAGACTTGAAGGAAGTTTCCCCAAGTGGTTGGCTGATCTTAAAATTGGAACTATAATCATGTCAGACAACAGACTCTCAGGTCCACTGCCTCCTAGTTTGTTTCAGACTTTCAACCTATCAGTTCTTTCCCTATCCAGAAACAACTTCTCTGGTCAGATTCCTGATACTATAGGAGAAACAGGTGTCATGGTACTGATGCTGTCTGAAAACAACTTCTCAGGACCAGTACCAGATTCTATTACAATGGTATATAGGCTGCTGTTGCTGGACTTGTCTAAGAACAAGCTATCAGGTGAGTTCCCAAGATTCAGCCCTATTTCATTGCTCGCGGTTCTCGATATATCTTCAAATGAGTTCTCAGGTGATGTTCCAGCTTCCTTTGGCCTTACCACTATAATGCTCTCCATGAGTCAGAACAACTTCACCGGCGAGTTCCCTCAGGACTTCAAAAACCTCCCATTCTTGATGCATCTTGACCTTCATGACAACAGAATCTCTGGTGGCATTCCATCAGGGCTACCTCCATCTCTAGAGATACTTAGCCTGAGAAACAACTCTTTCAAAGGTTCAATACCACAAGACATATCAAAACTCACAAGCCTCAAGGTCTTGGACCTCTCTGACAACGAACTTGATGGGTCTCTCCCTTCATCTCTTGGTAACCTCACAGGGATGATGGTATCTCCCACAAGCAACTCTTCCACTTTTAATTCTGCATTCAGCTTCAGTATAGATATACATGACTTGGCTGTGAACTGGAAGAACTCAAAGCAAGGTCTTGCCAACAGAAACCTCTACCTCTACACACTCTTAGACCTCTCCAAGAACAAGCTACAAGGAGAACTCCCAGCTTCTCTAGGCAATCTCAGAAACTTAAAGCTTTTGAACCTCTCTTACAATGACATCTCTGGATTGATCCCACAAAGCTTTGGAGGTTTGGAGAAGATAGAGGTCTTAGATCTTTCACACAACAACCTCTCTGGAGAGATTCCCAAAACTTTATCTAAACTCAGTGAGCTGAACACTTTGGGTTTGAGTAACAACAAGCTTACAGGTCCTATACCTGAGAGTCCTCAGCTAGACAGGTTAAACGATCCAAACATTTACGCGAACAACAGTAAACTATGTGGAGTGCAAATCCAAGTACCATGTTATGCATCACAGATAGAACCACCAAAGGAAGAAGATGAAGATGAATCATTGTTTTCATGGAGAGCTGCAGTCATAGGTTGTCCATGTGGGTTTCTTATGGCGGTTGTGGTAATGTATGTGGTTGGCTATTTCAGCAGACCACCACCACCTCGAAGGAGATCTGTGAAGAACAGAGTAGGGTCTCAGAAAATGAAGGCTTTGGCTTCTTGAGACCAAATGTGAGATTGTTATATTATGGTGTTGTAGTCTGGAAAAAATATTATAAAATAAAACATTTTAAGTGAGCAATGAAACCTGCTTCTTATCTACCCAGCTGAACAAGAATTGAATCTTTCAAGTTCTTGAGTTGCGTAATCTCTCAAGTTACACTGCCTCATGTTCACTAACTTGTGTGTTGGGCTTTGCTACAATGAGTCTCCTCTCACCTTGTTATCTGCTTTGTTTATCTTCCAAAAGACTGATGATTGTGTTTCTCACTTTTCTAACATGTTTTTTGACCTCCATTTTACAAACACAAGTCTTCCTTTTTCTCAAGTGCATTACAATCTATCAAAGACCCTAATATTCCATGTTGACCTCTAAGACCAGAGAGCTTATTAAACCTAGCTTATAACACAAGAACACCAGCAAAGAAGGGAACATGAACCCTATCATTTATTAAGCTTTTTTCATAAAAAATGATGAATGATTGTGTGTTTTGCTTGATAAACGCAACTCTATGCCTTACCCAGATTCATACCTTCTTAGAGCTCTTCTTCACCCCAACATCATATCTATCTGGACACATATCAGCCAGCCATGTTCCAGGACTCACCAACTGCACACAAATCCAACCAAATATTTTCTTAAAACTGGAAAGCAAACGATAAGAAGACGAAGTATAGAGCATTAAAACTCACAAGTAAGCTGCTTTGGACGAGCTTGGCTCTCTTCTTAGGCCTATGTGAAGGTTTGCAACCTTTCATAGCCATGAAATCTTCTTTCTTCTCTTTGCTTGATAGTGTTACAAACACCTTCTCTTCCCAATGGTAGTATTGTCCCTTCTGATCCTCTACAAAACGTTTCAGAAACCCATTAAAAATTAAGTCTTTGCTACGTTTCTACCCCGAACCAGTGGCAAGATATAAATGAACCAAAAAATTTATCTGACTAAAATCAGAAGTCAGAACCATAATTCAATCTTAAAAAACGATTGCTGATACTATGCTAAACCAAACAGCCCTGCACTCAGTTTAATGATGTTGAAAAAATGGTGAAGGTTATAGTAAACCATGAAACATTCATATATAAAATGCTATGTGATATCCACAATAATGCGACATATACATGATAATTGCGTACCATACCATGTAACTATCAGGAAGCCAACACAAATCAGACAAACATTACAATAAGATTCAGACAAATGTTAGCTGAGACTGTAGAAATGGCTTGTCTTATTCAACGCCCAAATCAAGGAAAAAGACAAACAATAAAAACCACAGTAATGAACATGTAAAGACCTTGACTAAGCAATGACTTTCGTGCTTTTTTCTACAAGGAGATTGGCCTTTGCACTAACTTCTTTAAGCACTGGACCTTTTTGTTCCTTTTGAATACTCTCATACACATTAACACACCTTAACAAGTAGATGTTTCCTTACTAAGATTGATCTAATTGCTACTATAGAGCAAGAATTAAAATTCCTAAATTATATTTTTACTGGATAGAAATGAAAGAACATTCCAGAAACCATGAAAAGAACAAGAAACGATTTGGTTAATGAAAAGAAAACTCATCCATACATTTGGGTAAAGCTCAAAACATATAAATAAGAAAAGAAAGAAAAAAAAACAAAATATAATCTGAAGGACAGAGTCGATGCATCAAACTATAACACCAAGAAATTTCACTAAGGTATTATTCCCATCAGTCATAACCTGATCGCACCACTCAACTTCACCCCAAATATCATTTCCTTGACGTCTTCCAAGCGAAATCTCTGCACACCAAATCTTCTGAATACTACTCGGTCTCGGTTCTTCTCCTTCTCTTTTACGAAAATACAAAGCCAGATTCCGACCATACCGCAGAGTGTTTGTCCAATATGGGAATCCTATCTCAGCAACCAAATCATCCAAACCTTTAACCACTCCCCAGCGCCTCTCCTTCGGATCATACCTGTTTAAACACTTGCCAAAACTATCGTAGTAGTACATAACCTCATCAAGGACGCACGCGCCACCATCCTCCCACGTCTTAGAATTCAGTACCTCGTCTTTTTCCCATTTATTTTCCTTTGGCACGTAAACAAACCCATTCAGAAGATACCTTGTGTAAATCTTATCATCCATCACCACCATCTGACCAAAATGCCACGCCTCAGCTGGCGAAGAAGTGTTTGCCTTTATCACCCTAGGCTCCCACACTTGTGTTTTTGTATTGAACACCACTATCACCTCTGAGATCATACTGCAGTGTCCAAATACGTAAATCTTCCCGTCAAGAAAGCCAGCACATGTATCAGCCATGGGTATAGGCATGTCTGGGAGTGGTTGCATCGTGTGTGATCTGCAGTCAATGCTAAACGCTCTCGATGATATCTCCCAATCCATCCCACCAAATCCATATATCATCGAACCCACCACCAAAAAGCTTTCAGCGATAGGCCAATTCGAAAGAGAAGAGATATAGACCAAGCGGTGGTTGCCATTGGCTTTCCGGCGAAGAATATATAAACCGTCATTAGGGCTTTCATTGACATTGAGTATAACAACATATAGACACTTCTCGGTGCACCTCAACAAAGATCTTCTCACGTATATCTCATGTGACGTAACAAGTGAGTGGAACTGCTTTGAAACGAGGGAGAGTGTTGGATAGTCGCATCTTGGCACACGTGCTAAGATGTCAACCACCACGTCCTCGGGAAGTGACGTAAACAGAGATTGTTGTGGTTGCGAGGATTGTTCATTCTCTCCATTAATTTTGGAAGTCATCTTATATACAACTCCAATCTTAAAGATCAAGACACATGAAAAAGCCGAAGCCCTACTTATAATAATGTTTACAACAAATTTATTGTCTTGTTATTAGATTAGATTAACTTAATTACTTATTTATTTTTGATATTGTATTCCTTTTTTTGTAATCGAATGTTTATTCTTGGAAATAATTTTAGTAGACTTCACTAGTTATTACAGATATAATTTTAACATATTTAGTTAGTTTTGACAGATTTGTTAGTTTTGACAGATTTGATTCTTTTTTATCACATATTTATTAGATTTGAAAATAAGTATATTTTACTTGAAATTACTTAATTTTGACTATCTTCAAAGATTTGTTTCTTCTAACCACATATTTGCATAATATTAAGAGACTTAATTAGTTATTACAAAGATTTGTTTCTTGTTTACCACATAATCTGGATTTGTTTTCTTTGACAGAAAATTACTTAAATTTTGACTATCTTCAAAGATTTGTTTCTTTTAACCACATACTAGATTCTGATCCACGCTTCAAAAGTGCGGGATTAACTTTTAATTTAATATTTTATATAGCAAAAATTATAATTTATTTAATTTTATATAATTATAAAAGATACATGTATAATTATTCTGCTTATTTTCTTAAGTGAACAAAAATTTAGAAAATTTTGAAATTATCCATACATATATTATAAGTAGTTTATTTATTTAAAATAGTTGACATTGTTTTTATTTGAATAATTTAAATTCAAATAAGATAATTCATGGTTTTTATATTCTTGTCTCAATCAACTTATTTTTTTTTAAAAAGATATTTTTACATTGAAAATTATGTTAAAAGTTGATTAAGTGCGTCTTGTACCTTTTAAAATCATAAACTTACATATTTTTTATAATAAATAGAACGTAATAATAATATATATATTTTAAAAATATTTTAAATATTTTTACTGAAATGTAATCTTAGAATTCATATGCAGGAGACTCTTTTCATTATTTTCTTTATAACAAAAAAATATAATCCGAATCAACATAGAAGTATTCAAAATAGTAGATATTTCTTTAGTTTCAAATAATTCAGCTAATTGAGTAAAATGAAATATAATACAAATAAAATAATATATAACATCTATGTATATGAGACATGAAAAATGAAAACTTATTCTGTAAGATATTTTCTTCAATTTTAAAAAGCATATTTTAATAAGATAAAGTGACTATAGTTTGCGTAGATATAAATTTGGCTTTACGATGTTATTAGTCATGATATAAATAATTATTATACACGAGTAACAAATGCTTTGTTTAAGTAAACGAATATATGACTTATTTTTTCTATTGATAACAATATATTCTTTTTTATATGTAGACGTTCTAATTTGATTTCTTGTGTGAATTGTTACCCATTTGTTTAATTAATAAATAAATATGTTGATGAGAGATTTTATGGCTAATGAATAATTCAATTAGATTATATTTAGGAATATTAATATTCTTCTATTAAGTTAGAATGTTTTAGGCAATGTTAATTAATTTTATTATGCTGAAATAAATGAATTGCATGTAATTGTAATTAAATTAAAATGCAATGAGAGAATCCAAAATTTTCAAAATAGGATCATGTTTAATAGTATAGATTTTGCATAATTTTAACCCTGAATATTAAGAGAAATTTTTGTTTACTCAATCAAAATTATTCAGTACAAGAAATGAGGTCAAAACAGATATCTCAGATTCATAAAACAACAACAAAAAAAAGAAAAAAGAGATATTCACAAACATAAGCAAAGATGTTCCTGAATTTACATGCTTTCATTGCAGACAAGTTAACTCAAAAAGGTCAATATAACATTACATGTATAGGAACTCTCAGATTTTCCAGAACAACTTAATTTTTCAAGGGATCAGGATTGGTCTGATGAAGTTTGACCTAGAGAGACAGAAGCAAGAGATGAAGCCCAAGCTTGAGCGTTCTTTGCCCTTTCATGGAAACTCCTTGTTTTGACGAGTTTTAGCTTCAACCATAGCCTCCTCACATCGACCATGTGAAGTGCACGGCTGAACACTTGGCTTACCTCTCCAAATCTTTCCAGGTTCAGATTGGGAGCATAAGAAGCCCATAATGCTTTCATGCGTGATTCTGCTATAGGGAAGACGAGAATCGCCATTTGTAAACAGATAAACAGCAGAGAAAGTACCAAGAATGGATCTCGTTTGAATATTTCACAAATAGATGTCCCATTGCGTAACCATGTAATCAGGTTACCATCAGTAGTGTCTAAGCTGGTTGCTGGTTCGGCTTCAGCCAAATACTGGACAGGTTTGAGACCTGTAAAACCAAAAGGAATCATCAGTTAATTTTCAGCCAGAGATTCAGAAAGAATACAAGATCACAGAAAACAAACAAATACGTGGTGTGGTGAATCACCTGTTGATTCTTCATAAAACTCAATCAGGGATGTAAGATCCTTACGACCATGGTATCGCGCCTTAAGAGTTTGATTTACCATCAGGATTGAAGGTAAGCTATGGATACCATACCTTGAAAATACACTGCAACAAATCAATTTAATGAAACCAGTTAATAAAACAAAGGATAATCCCCCAATAAGACCTATAAGCAAACGGAATAGGAGCCCACTAGTGATACAATTACACAAGAAAGACAGGGTAATAATGAATATTAGCTAACCTAGATTCTTGATCAAAATATTAATGAAATTTAAGGTAACGTAACATGAGACGCACATAACAGTCATTTCACATAGTAATCTTGTAAGAATACTAATCCTATCTAAATAAAAGATAAACAAAGCTGCTTACGATGGTAGTGCTTGAGAATGCTCAACAGCTAAGTGCTGTATCTGAGGAAACATCGAACTCAACATATCAAACTTAGGTCGCACAGCACGTGAAAACGGACACCACGAAGCATAAAAGAGTACAGCAAAGACATAACCACTTCCACCAAAATTCAAATCCATTAACCTATCCAGTGAGTCTCCATCCACCTGCCACATTGCAAAAATCAAACCTTAAAGATCCAATTTTCAATTTCACAAGACAGAGATCGGTGTTCACTTTATTACACAACAAGCTCAAATATCTCTAAACTCACGAAAGCAAGCCTGAAACTTTCGAAGTAATTTAAAACCAAAATATATCCAATTTCCAATTTTACAAGACAAAGACAACAATTGGTGTCGCTTTATTACACAACAAGGAATTTAGGTTTATTACACAACAATCTCAAATATCTCTAAACTCATGAAAGCAAGCCTGAAACTTTCGAAGTAATTCAAAATCAAAACTTATCCAATTTTCAATTTCACAAGACAAAGAAAACAAATTGGTGACCCTTTATTACACAACAATTGGTGTTCACTTTATTACACAACAAGCTAAAATATCTCTAAACTCATGAAAGCAAAGCCTGAAACTTTAGAAGGTAATTAACGATATACCTCGATAGGAGGATTTGGAGGGAGAGAAAGAGGGCATTGGGAGTGTAGATCGAACCGGAACAGATCGAATTCGTGATTGCAGACGGAGAAGTCAACAGGAGACGAAGAGAACCCAGAAGGAAAGCACGAGACAGCAGATATGGCGAACAGGAGGAGAATCGGAATATGGAGATCCATGATGGTGGATTCAAGAGTGAGGAGAAACAAGAGGTAAGGATCGAATTGAAAGGATGGAGAGATAAAGAACAAAACCTAATTTCGCAGGAATCAGAACATCTATCTATTAGGGTTAATGAATTGGGGTAAATCATAGATTCGTAAAAGTATTTAAAAAAATAAAAAAACAAAAAAGGTACCGGAGATATTTTCGGGGTTTTGAACCCGACGTGAATCGAACACGCAACCTTCTGATCTGGAGTCAGACGCGCTACCATTGCGCCACGGATCCGGATGTTAATAATTCCTTTAATACTAATTATATCATAATATTGACTAGAATGCTAGTTTCTAACCAAAAGATTTGTTCCACGATATAGATATTTTGATGTGGATGCTAGTTTTTGGTCTAAATGTTTAGAAATTCGGAAATTTGTATACTATGAATCTGAAACAAAATTAGTTTACAAAATTCTGACTGAAACCAAAACTTCTTTTAAATAAAGAAAAGCCAATAATATTCAACATCATATAGTTAGTTATATTGTTTCTAATAACACAAACCGATGAATCTCTAACGAATTATGCCGAAGCTTTTTACCAAAAACTATGTTGAATCTCTATCTGCATCTTTCAGTTTTTGTATATTTTCGTTTGTTCCAAAAGAATAGAATGGGCAGGTCAAAAACCTACCTTTGTAACCCAGAACTCTTCATAAGTCTAGGTCCTTAAGCTTATGTAAAATGAATTGTTACTTAAGAAAATATTTATTTATGAGTTTTCCCCAAAAGAATACAGAAATGTAATGGTACATGAACACAACAAATGTCACGTAATTTTTTTTATTAGTATCACTTATTAATTCCATTACACACACAAATGTGAAGAATCAGCATAAACAAACACAGCGAATAATTAGCTGAATGGGAATACAGCTCACTTGACACCCTTCCCTACAGTGAAAGTCTTGTGGTTTCACAACCTGCGAAGAAGCTTCATACTGCACCACATGAGTTTGCGCTGGTAACAAACGATTTGCCTCGATACTTTGAATAGTTATAGTAAACATCACTACAAAACCAAAAATAATATATGGACATGTATAAAAGAATATGACGAACATTTGTATTTCTTTTCATACAATAAAACTTACCGCATGCAACAGCTAAAAGAGCAACGAAAGCAAAGTTTATTGATAGCTTCTCCATTGTTTTACTTGTAGAGAATATTATTACAAAAGGTGTTTAGAAGGTGTCTTAGCTTTTGTGAACGTTTTATTGAATAGATAATTGTGTGTTAGTCAATACTCATCAAGTCAAGGTCAACGTAACAGATTAAGAAATAAATAATATTAAATTACCATCAATCTTTTTGAATAGGAAATGTATCTATTTATACTATTATTTAATAAACCAATTTGCTTAGTTATCATGTTCTCCAAAATTTTATGTAATTTTTCTTATTTGTCATATTTTATAATTTTTACTAATAATTAATTATTACTTTTAATAAATAACTTGATTTATTAATATATAATTAACTATAAATAAAAGAATTAATATATAATTAACCTTAATCAAAAGCCAGCTTTCCTTTCAGATTATTCTTAGTAGAGCTGAAGAAAAGTTTGGATATTATGATTAAAGTAATTACAAATATTTTATATATTATTATATTTAATGAAATACATATATAATAAAAGTTTTTTTAGTGATAGTCCATTTTTTTAAAAAATCACACATGAATCAAGTTCATGTCTTCTGTTTTAATAAATAAGATTTATATATTTTTATCTTTTTAACCAATAAATTTGTTTAAGAGGGTAGAAACTTCGATGTGAATGCCAGTTTGGTGAAATTAACAATTTTAGGTACATATTGCATGAGTTTTGCATGGTGGCTCTTTAGTAGTAGTAACAGAACCAGTAGAGCTACTTCAGCACCAAAGGGATTCTTGCAGTTTACGGCAATGAGAGCCAGAAGAAGCAGAGATATATCGTGTTAGTCTCACAATTTACTTGAGCCAGCTTTCCTTTCAGATTTTCTCAGTAGAGCTGAAGAAAAGCTTGGACTGAATATCCAATGATAACATTTTTTTCGTTCTTTATATAAAAGATTTGATGTGGAATATTGAAAAGTAAAAATGTAAATGCCAGTTTTGAGTAATGAACAATGGAATCAAACAAACAATATCAAAATGATTTTTTCTATTAATAGTTTATATGCTGCAAACTCCAAAGATTTTTCATGTTTCTCAAAGTAACACCCGTTTTTTTTAGCAAAAAAAAAAAAGGGTAACACCCGGTATATTTGGGTTAAGGGAATATATCGGTTTCTTACGAATTTCCGGACCAAACCAATTGAACCGGCAAAACAAATTCGGATTCGATGCCAGGTTTGTTGTTTCTCGGTCAACGAAGTCCTGAACCGAGAACAAGATTAAGTGATACGATTGGGTAATTTGGTAATGTTAGATTTAACCAAGAATCGTAAACCGAAATCTAAACCGGTTAGCAGTACTCCGACTCTTTGTCTGTTATCTCTCTCGCAAGGAAAATATTAGTTTCCAGTGCTTCGAATTCAGGGAATGTGTCAGTGATGTTTCCTACCTCTCTCTCGATCTGACTCTAATTTAATTCGAACTACTTCCTTTCCTGCACGGGTTGTTTGTTTTGTTTGCTTCCCCCTGGAGAAACTTCAATGCGATAAATCTCCAGATCCAAAGCTTGAGGCTGTTTCAGCCAATAATCTCCCTCGTTTCACACTCGATCTCGCCTTTAAATCGTAGTATTTGGTACCAAATTATATAACCTTTTTCTTTTTTTTTTGTAAAATTCAAATTTAGCTTAGCCACGTGGTCTTTTGTTTTAGGCGTGGTTTAATTGGGAGAAGGAGCTCGATTCTTACGAGCTGGGATTGTAGAAGAAGATGATGTTCAGATCGAGGATAAAATGGATAGCACTGTTGGTGCTGATTTTATCAGTGGGATCTATCGTTGTTCATCTCTCGATTACAAAGTCTTCATCTGTACAGTTGGCTTCTTATGCTAGAGATTCCCTTTGGCAAGATTTTGATTCTTTGTTGGGTGGTGGTGCTAAGGTTAGTTAAAGAGGATTTGAATTTGGAGAATAATAACGTTTAAGTGGTGTTTATTTGGTTTTTCTCTTTGTTTGCAGGATTTTAGAAATAAGCACTTATGGCGGCCTGTTAAATCGTTGGAGACCTTGCAGCCCTACGCCAATCCTAGAAACAATTATCCTGGTGAGTTTAATCTGCCGCAGTGAATTTTTCATTGTTGCATCAAACCATTGAGTGATAGTAAAGCCATTATGGATGTTTATATGTTGTATGTTGTGATCCATACTTGTTTGAACATGTGAAATTTGAAATCTTTTGAGCTTTTTTTTTTTTTTTAATCTTAAGAACTTGTTGTTACTCTCTTTGCAGCGCCTGGTTCAAAAACTAATGGCTTCATTTACGCAAAGATATTTGGTGGATTTGACAATATAAGATCATCGGTATGTATAACTTGACTTGATAAGGTGGAATTCATCTTCATTTTTGTCCGTTTATTCATGTTGGTAACATATTTGCAAATTTTCTAGATATGTGATCTTGTCACCATATCCAGGCTTCTAAATGCTACTCTTATCATTCCAGAGCTTCAAGAGAGTCTTCGCTCAAAAGGCATTAGGTACCCGCTAACCTCTATGTTCTGTTAAAGCATCTTTTTTTGGCCTCAGTATCAGACTCGTCTTCATTCTAGTGAATTTTGATATGGTGTGCAGCAAAAAGTTCAAGAGTTTCTCCTATCTTTATGATGAAGAACAGTTTATATCTTTTCTTAAAAATGATGTTGTGGTTGCGAAGGCCCTTCCTGAGAGCTTTAAAGCCGCAAGAAAAAGGAATGAGTTTCCTCTTTTTAAGCCCAAAACTTCTGCATCGCCAAACTTTTATCTCGAGGATGTATTGCCAAAGTTAAAGAAAGCTAATGTCATTGGATTGATCATCTCTGAGGGGGGATGCTTGCAGGTAATGCGTGCTTTTTTTCCCTCCCCCTTAGAGTGATATTGCTTGTATGCAGTAACTTCGAAATCTGTAGAGATCTTCGGCTAAATATCTTACGACTTGCAAACTACCATCACTCGCCGTATCATGTTTTCGTTATTTTACGTTTAAATGTCAGAAGCTATTATATTAGTTAAACAATGCGTTTTATCCTCAACAAAGTTGTATTGTTTACAGTCAACTTTGCCAGCTTCAATGCTTGAACTTCAAAGACTAAGGTGTAGAGTTGCCTTCCATGCACTCCAGCTTCGTTCTGAAATCCAGGTGCTGGGAAAGAAGATTGTCGACAGGTACTTGTGATACTTGAAAATTAAAAGTTAGTTAGCTTTGGGACGGCAACAGGAGATATTTTCGATTGTTAAGGAAGGGAAAGAATGTTACCCATTTTGTTTCATATGTCACCATTTGTTTATCAACCCCTAATAACCGTGCGTCCTTGACATAATTGGCCTACATATTTTGCCCTTGTTAGGTTACGTAAATCAGGTCAACCCTTCCTAGCTTATCATCCTGGCTTAGTGAGGGATAAATTGGCATATCATGGTTGTGCTGAGCTTTTCCAGGTAAATTTTTTAACCCTCTCCATCTGCATTCTTTGATAGAACAATCAGCTACGCTTTTTCCTTGTCTAACCTTTGTGCTCGAGTTACACGGAGAAGTAGTTTTAAACGGTCGAATCAATTTCTGACTCTACTCTTCGTTTCAATCCTTGAAGGATCTTCACAGTGAACTCATTCAGTATCGGCGGGCTCAGATGATCAAACAGAAGTTTATTTCAGAAGAACTTATTGTAGACTCGCACGTGCGCAGGGACAAAGGCTTATGTCCTCCCATGCCAGAAGAGGTAGAACTTAAAGCTTTCTCAAATGATGTAAAAATTGCGTATATTTGTATGTATTGTTACCCTTTATGTCTGCCTGCATGGTGTCTCTTTGAAAGCTGAGTCTGCTTCGGAAACATGTGGACCTATGTGTTTTAATTTCTTGGAACTCCTAACGAAGATAGACATATATGTACCTCATAAGTTTCTAGATTTACGTGTAATTCCGATGTAACACACAGTTTTCAAGCCTGAACACTCCTTATGCTGTCATTCTAATGCACCACTTGATCAGAGACTTCGTACTGCTGTTCCTATGGAACTGCTTTGGCTTTTGTGATGCTAAGAGTTTATTGTCACTGAAATTTCACAGGTCGGAATCCTTCTGAAAGCACTGGGTTATTCTCAAAAAGCGATTATATATTTAGCTGGTTCTGAAATGTTTGGCGGTCAACGTGTTTTGATCCCTCTGCGTGCCATGTTCCCTAATTTAGTGGATCGGACTTCTTTATGCAGCACAGAAGAATTATCAGAATTGGTTGGTACTGAGACATATCTTCCAGAAAATACATTTGAAATGCCTCCTCGTAAAAGCGATAAGCAGCTTAAAGAAGAGTGGAACAAGGCAGGTACTCGGCCTAGACCTCTCCCTCCTCCTCCAGACAGACCTATTTACCAGCACGAAAAAGAAGGCTGGTATGGTTGGCTTACAGAGAATGATACAGAACCAACCCCTTCACCTATGGATCTTAGGAATCAAGCACACAGGTTACTATGGGACGCACTTGACTTTGTTGTATCTGTAGAAGCTGATGTGTTTTTCCCTGGTTTCAACAACGATGGTAGTGGGTTGCCAGATTTTTCAAGTTTGGTAATGGGTCAGAGGCTCTATGAAAGACCATCGTCACGAACTTACAGACCAGACAGGTAAGAAAGCTTATTACTCGACATTTAGTGAAACTGATCTAGAGCTTGTTGTCTTTAGCTCCCTTGTCCATAGTTAAGCTGACTAAAGATATCTTGTCTATCTATTTGTCTGATACATAGATCGTATATTTCACTACTTCATTGAGTATCCCTTTTGGAAATTAATTAATGGCTGTCTGCTGATTTTCTCAAACAGGAAAGCTATTCAAGAATTTTTCAACATGACCCGTGAGGACATGTACCATCCCAACCGTAACTGGACATTTCATGTGAGGAAACATCTTAACTCAAGTTTGGGTGAGAGTGGGCTTATCAGGCAGTCTATGCTGTCGAAACCCAGGTTGTTTCTTTCCCATCCACTTCCTGAATGCTCATGCAGAACATCTCCCCTTGAAGAATCCAGACAAATACGAAGCGATGATGGCAGATTACTGTATGGAGGTGAAGATGAATGCCCTAAATGGATAAAATCAGCTGGGGTGGAAAAGAGTAAAACTGATGATGGTGATCAGCCTGATTATGAACATGATCTTCTCACTGAACAGTCAGAAACTGAAGAAGAATTTGCAAAAAGTAAGGTGGCTTCAGCTTTTGACCAGGATGAAGAATGGGATCCCAATGACTAGCACTCTGACAACGATACAGATTCTGCCGTCAGGTGTCATTTGATTTTTATATAGTTACCGGCTTTTGTTTTTTTCTTTTCTGAGAATAAGCTTTTTTAGTTTCATTCTTTAAGTAGTGGTTTCTTGCAAATTAGTTGCATACTCTTTATACGTCAAAGCCTTCTCAAAGATATTGGTATTGCCTCCAAAGCGTCCTTATGCAGCAAAGGATGAACGTTATGGTTCATCCCTTCCCTAAGGTCTTCTTCCCATGTAGCAAATGTGAAGCTGGAGGTAATCTTTTTTTTTTTTTTTTTCCTCTTTCTCACCATTGTAAATCTGATAAAGATTCATTCAGATTCTTTTTCTCGGATAGTTTTTTTTTTCTGGATTTGTTTGGACATACCACAGATATGAAAGATAAAAAGTAAATTTCAATCAGAGTTTTATTATTCACTTTCTATCTCCTTATTCTCTCCACATTCATTTTCATTTAGACTGGGATGCTCACTGAAATGAACATTGGCCTTTGTAGATTAGTTAATTCATTGATTCAGTCAAAAGAATAATCATTTTGCTAGTAGTGATAGTGGAAGGATTTTGATGCGATGATGCAATGTATACAAAAGCTCATGTTATCAAATCACTCTTATCATATGCAACAGTATTGATTTTGATATTATTTTTCCTTTTGATGTGCTATGTAAAGGATATAAAACACCATTCTCATTCAAATGACCAAAGAAACAAAGATACATACATATAACATTGCAAAAGAAAATTATAACATAAATACTCTTCAACAAAAGAGAGAGACATAATCATCAAAACCTAATTTTTGGCTACTATTTTTTTCTTGGAAGAAAAGTTATTGAAATCATCAAACACACACAAAACCATAAATAAAAATCCCGGAAATAAAATATAATATCTCTTCAAGCTCTTCACTTGGTACTAGCGAGCTGGGAGCGGATAAGCTTGGCAGCATCAACCATGTTCTTAAGTGCTGGCTTAACCTCAGTGTACTTCCTCGTCTTCAGACCACAGTCAGGGTTAACCCACAAGATGTTCTGCTCAAGAACCGCAAGCATCTTGTTGATCCTGTCTGCAATCTCATCTGCCGATGGTATCCTCGGTGAGTGGATATCATAAACACCAGGACCAATACCTGCACCATACTTCACTCCTTCACGGAACACAGAGAGAAGCTTCTCATCTGAACGTGAGTTCTCAATGGTGATAACATCAGCGTCCATGTCAATGATGGAGTGGATAATGTCATTAAAGTGTGAGTAACACATGTGAGTGTGAACCTAAAGAAAGACAAAAACAACTCATTAGAAGTTAGTTCACATTCAACACTGTTTGAGAACGATCTTGTAAGTGTGTTTTTACCTGAGTGCTGTCTTGAACACCACAGTTAGTGATTCTGAAAGAGTGAACAGCCCAGTCCAAGTAGAAAGAGTGTTCTGCTTTCCTAAGAGGCAGCCCTTCTCTAAGAGCAGCTTCATCAATCTGAATGACTCCAATACCGCCTTTCTCGAGGTCTTCCACTTCATCTTTGATAGCCAAAGCGATCTGGTAACAAGTCTCGTGCCTAGGCTGGTCGTTTCTGACAAAAGACCAGTTAAGAATCGTGACTGGTCCTGTAAGCATACCCTTCATGGGACGTTTTGTCATGCTCTGAGCTGTTGAAGACCAGAAGACTGTCATTGGCTTGGGACGGCTCACGTCACCGTAGATGATCGGTGGCTTCACACAACGAGATCCATATGATTGCACCCATCCGTTTGCTGTGAATGCAAAACCTGATAGCTGCTCTCCGAAGTACTCAACCATGTCGTTTCTCTACAAATGTTGTTAGAGTAAGAAACAGCGCGTGTCATGATTAGTTTACAGTGATTTGCTGATTAAGTATATAGACTCACCTCAGGCTCTCCGTGGACAAGAACATCAATGTCAAGATCCTCTTGGAGGTCAACAACTTTCTTGATCTCTTCCTTGATGGCCTTGACGTAATCCTCTTCAGAGATTCTAGTACAAGAGGGACAGTTAGCAAACTACTTAAATGAACAATGCTAAAAGAGTTTGTTTAAGACACTAACTTCTTGGCCTTGTATTCACGGCGAACCCTCCTGAGTTCCACTGTCTGTGGGAAGGATCCAATGGTTGTGGTTGGGAGGATAGGAAGGTTAAGCTTCTTCTGCTGAGCATCTAGCCTTGCGCTAACTTCAGTAGCACGGCGATGGTCTGATCCCTTCAAAGCAGCAGCCTGGTGGATTACAAGAATCACAAATCATCAATACCAATACAAACATCATCTTACAAAAGACACTTGAGTGTGGAGAACTCACAGCCTTCTGGACAGACTGGTTGGTGACTCTTGGGGAAGACCTCCTTGAAGACAAAGCCTCTGCGTTGGCAGAGAAGAAGCTCTGAAAGAGTGTGAAGTGTTAGAGAGTTGTATAGTGTTTAGGGTTGTTCACTGGAGAAACATGTTTGTAAATGTTTTTCAATACCTGATTGGTCTGACCAGCCAAAGCCTTAGCCAATGCATCAACTTCAACGACCTTCTGAGCAGCAAATGCTAGCCAAGACTTGATTTCAGCATCAAGCTTAGTCTCGTTAACAAGGTCAACAGCAGTGTGGAGAAGAGAGCAAGAGGTTGAGACCACAAGCTTGTCTGCACCAACGTGAAAAGAATTATTAAAACACTTCTAAGTGAATGGTTGACAAGTAGAGACAATACCTTTACCAACAACACCCTCAAGTGACTGCAAGGTGATGAGAGAGGCAGCAAGGTCATTAGCCCAGATGTTCCTTCCATCAACAACACCAGCAAAGAGGTACTTGTCCTTGGGGAAACTAGACTTGATCAAGTCAATGGTCTTGGTTCCACGGATCAAATCAAATCCAAAGGCAGCCACACCCTTCAAGGAAGTAAGGGTCTTGAATGCTTCAGCAGGGACATCAGCGAAGTAAGTCTCCACAAGAACATTGAGACCAGAGAGAGTTGATTCAAGCTCATCATAGGCACCACTAAAGGCCTGGAGTTTGTGACCCTCTAGATCGATGACAAAGAGTGGCTCATCAAACTGAATCCATGTGGCACCAGCTCCCTTAAGCTCCTCAATGACTTCCCTGAGAACAAAAGGCATGTCAGAAAACACATTTCATGGCCTCAATTATAGCAGTTAATAAAAGTTATAAGAGTAGAGTGATCTCTTACTTGTAGATTGGGAGGATCTTGGGGAGAAGGGAGAGAAGATCAAAAGACTTGTCAACACCCTTTGCAAGCTTGGAAAGAAGCAAGTAAGAGACAGGACCAACAAGTACAGGTACTGTCTCAACACCAAGCTGCATAAACAACACAACATTATCATATTAGTACTCTCAATATCAGAAGCCTAAATTCAAATGGAAGTTATGACACATACAGCTTTGGCCTCCTTGTACTCATTCACAGCCTTGTGAGATGCATAAGAAAACTTCACTTCAGGACCCAACTCAGGGACAATGTAATGGCTGCAACAAACAAACAGAGAAAAGGTATGTTAACCACACAACACACAAATCAATAGGGCCGGATATGAGAATTTGAGGAATATAAATATTTTTAAGTTAATCTTAATAGCTCTTTAAAATTTAGCGGTCAAAGACGAATGTTTCATCCAGCTTTGTCCATAACCGGCGCTAAACTTGTCACAGTGGAGAAGACAAAGGAGTAAAAAACTCACTAGTTGGTGTCAAACCACTTGGTCATTTCCATGGCTGGAACAGAGGCGTTTCCTCTAGCCATGGAGAAGTAAACATCAAAACCAATCTCACCACTGTTCCAACCGTATCTAGGAGGAACAGCACCAAGCATAGCGGTGGTGTCTAACACCTGGTCATAGTAAGCAAAAGTGTTGCTTGGGATGTACTTAATCCCAGCTGCAGACATCTGTTTCCAGATGTCAGACCTGAGATCAGCTGACACCTTCTTCAAATCCTCGGCAGTGGTCTTGCCATCCCAGAAAGATTCCAATGCGAACTTGAGCTCTCTCTTAGGTCCCATACGTGGGTATCCAACAATGTGTGATGCCATTTTTTATCTTCTTTTTTTATTTAACTACATTCAGCAACCAAGAAAAAAAAAACAAATTAGCCACAAAATCAAGCATATGCAAGTCTTGTACTTGTAAAGTACAATTCTATCATAGAAAATAATAAAAAGATAAATGACTTTTGCACGTTTTGTCGTATTTGTTTTGAGATAAAAAAGAGACAAGTGAGTTCACTTATAAAGCAGAATGTAATCATTACAAGATGTCAGCCAAAATCCAAGAATCTGAAAACATGAAATAACTCAAGAACCTATGATTAATAGAAACTCACTCACGGGATTAGATGATATAAGTATTGAAAACACAAGACAAAGAAACGAACTTTAAAATTCAATGACGAAATGAAAAGAGACGAAAGCTAAATAAGAGAGTGGGAAGGCAAAGGACAAGAATAAGTCATGAGGAAGCCATGGAAACACGGAGGCGAACCTTACGGAGAAACGTGGAAGAAGAAAGGTTATAGAATGAGTGAAGGAGATGGCAAGAGACGCGACGATGGAGAATGCATCTGTTACCTTATTTATAGCAATAAACAATTCTCTTTCTCTCACTCTCCATGGTGGTTGCTGATTATTTTACTCTGTTTTTTATTAGATTGAATTTAAATAAATACCTACATGATACACCTGTTGATTAGTGTTTAATAAATATCAATATATAGAATTATGCATTGGAAGCGAGTCCAAAGAAGAGAATAATGTATTAGAATATTGTACAGTCAAAAATATTAGTATATGATAAAAAAGAATATACGTATTTCTAAGTATCCATTCCAGCACGTTTTAACTCTGCTCTAACTTTAAACTTTCAAATTAAGGGCAAATGGTCAAGTTTGTACAACTTTTGACAAGTATACATTTATAGCGACTGGTTGTTTAGTAAAAGAAATGTATTGGTGGTATGGCAATACGTTTCTAAGATGTTTACTTGGGTAAATTAATGTATATACTATATAGTAATTAATTTAGAGATTTTGACTATGGAATTAAAACGTGAGTGGGGGAGGAGAGTTGGTGTGTCTACATGAGAAGGGAGGAAGCGGGACTGGTGGGTGGGATCCTACAATGAGGTTGGTGGAGAGATTCACAATTTAAAGCTTTTTTCCAGCAACACGACGTCGTTTTTAGGGGGTCAGTATCAAACTGTGCCACATAAACCAATGGAGAAATTTGTTTGGTAAACAAAGTAGGTGAAGGATTATGATATCTACGTCCTCTAGTAGATGAAAACCACTTATTTCAATCAAATAATAAATACAAGTAATATATATTGTGTTAGATCATACTATATAATCAATTAAACAAAGTATTCGAGCACAAGCTTCACACATTTGTAGGCCTACACATTAATTAGTGAGCTACAAATGGGACTGAGCCGTTTGAAGAGATGTTCCTAAGCCACCAACTATTAAGGTAGATGGGCTTCCAACCTAAAACCAATTGGTGATAAGTGGATTGGTCCATCTATCTTATATATCACTAAGAATCTCTTCCAACTTCCGATGTGGGACTTTGTCCCTAATACGCCCCCTCGAGATGATGGCTCTTTGGCATCAATCTCGGAATGTTCGGGTAAGGATCGATGGTCAACTTTGGACCGGATCGATGGGCCAACTTTGGGCCGGATCGGGTTGGATTGCATGGATCGTGGGCTCTAATACCATATTAAGGTAGATGGGCTTCCAACCTAAAACCAATTGGTGATAAGTGGATTGGTTCATCTATCTTATATATCACTAAGAATCTCTTTCAACTTCCGATGTGGGACTTTGTCCCTAATACCAACTTCTCTCTCTTCTTTCTAATGTGATGTTCCTTGGCCCAACATTCTTTCTAAATTGCTGCATCTTATACATAAAACATAGAGCACTTGTGAAAACAAGTATGTGTAGATAACACTAAGAAGAGAACATCTGCCTCACCTAGAAAGCATGTCTAAAACGTTTTTGAAACCTGTCTTCCAAACCTCACGTAAGTATAAAATTAAATGGTGGCAACTTTTATCACATATTGATAAAAACTCAATGCAGTTATGGTGGCTTGCTAGGAGCTTCAGTTATCAAAGAGGGGTGGGGGAGCTTGCTACTAGTTTAGTTCTTAAATCTTATCATTCCAAGGGAGGAATGGCACTTACTGACACAATATTTCTATATAGATAACATCATATAGATCCATAACTTATGGAGAAGTCACGAATTTATTCAGCAAGGGGAAACAAAGTTACAAACAGCTAGAGATTTCATTTCACCATTTTGGCATTTTTGATGTAAGAATTTAAGCTAACTACTAAAATAAAACAAGAGCAATACAGAAAAAAATATATGTCATATATAGTTTTTTTTTTTAAGATATTCATATATAGTTTGTACAGAAAAAAAATATATGTCATAGATCAATAATGATGCATGCTATTTGTAACAGTTTTATTTTTATTTTTGGGAAAACGTTTCTGGAACAGTTGCATACAAAATGTGATAAGTGTAGAAAGTTCTCTCGAGATTTTTTAATATGGCATGTATGTATAAAACACTATGGATTTTACCACAAATAATGAAAAGAGTTGTTAAAGGATCGATACGGTTGATAATTTACTAGATGATAAAATAAAAAATTTACTAGATGATATTTATCACAAAAAAAACTTACTAGATGAACTTGACAATTATTACTCACCTCTAAGTCTCTAACCGAATATAATATCTAATGCTGAACGAACCATTTAACCTAATTTTAGTACACCTCAAATGACACTGACCAGTGACGTACATCTTACTTAACCTAATGAATCTTATGTTACCCTCTTTTGCTTTCTACAAATCATTTTAGATATGTACTTATCCTTTAAACCAAACGCAGTTAGGAAATAAATAATTTGTGATACTTTCTGCAAAAAAAATTGAGAATTCGACCAAAAAAAATATTTTTTAATTTTAGTTTCAAAATTAGTTTTATAAAAAAATTCTTTATTTTCATTTTTTTGAAATTTTAAAGATTTTTTAGAGGTTTTTATAGATTTTTTTTTATATTCAATCAGTACCAAATATAAGTAAATGTGTTAGTAGATATATTAAATGTGTCACTAGACCTTGTCCAGTTTAGGTTTCTTTTCGCAATTCGTACAAAGTTGGTGTTTTTTTTTTGGCCGAATTCTCTAATTGTGAAGGTAGAGACTGATGTGATCTTTCTGATGGAGATGCCACCACGAAAGAATACATAGCATTCTGTGCTACTTCACCTTTTTATTTTCATCTTATAATAAACTAAGGTTTGGACGGATCTGGTTTATTTAGGTTCTGATCGCCTGTAAAAAAAAAACTATGTAATTGTAAATGCCAATTTGTATGATCAATTCAATTTACTTCGGTTTACGTGATTCTTTGATTTTCAATTCTTTTTCACAATCAAAATTCCCAAAAAGTTTAATTTGTTGTATGATGTGATTAATCAATATAGAGATTTATGTGAGTAAATTTACTATTCATATAAAACTTTGAAATATAACATTTAAGACTTAAGTATTGGTAGACCATCCTCTAATGCTCTAAAGAATATTTTCTGTATCTTTACTTTTTATCTTTTTTCTTGCCCCAGCTTTGTGGCCCGAGTGGGTTCTATCTTTGGTTCTTGTTTTTTCTGGAAAGTGATGATAAAATATGATTAATAGTTAATGCTGAGAAAAATAATTTTTAACAGTGATTCAACCCAAAAAATAAAGTAAACAGAACAAACTGTCGGACAGAGCTGGTGGGATTCGCTATTTCTTTATGCATGTGAACAATTTCGATATATTTTTTTTTGGCTCAACAACAAACTTATCATTCACCAATATTCAAAAACTTAACGATATTTTTGTTTTTTGAACTTACTATATTTATTTTTTCAAAAAAAGCTTACTATATTTTTTTCGTGTTAATAAATCTTTAAAATTTCGAAGCTAAAATAAAAAATCTTTAAAAATTCTTCTTGTTGTCTTCTTCTTGTGATAGAGAGGAGGACCAGACTCACTGTCGTCAGCTAGTGACAGTTTACTCAATCGTATGGCTGTTAAAATATTTTCTTTACATTGATTTTGCAAAACTTTTTGTTGTCTTCTTTTTGTATAATAATATTTTGTTTGGTTTAATATTGTTCTCATAGTGCTCTCTGTTTTATCCTTACAAAACTATAATCACTCACTCGTGAAGGAATCTTGAATGTTTTTAAAGCTCTGAGGAATTTTCCTCTTTTTCAGGGGATTTTCTTGGAAACTTTTCACAATAAATTCAAGATTCGTTTCACAGTTCCTTCATAATTGTGCAGAGGTATTATTTCATCTCAAAGAAAACTGATTTGTTTTTCCATGAAAATAAAGTTCCAAAGGTAACCTCTTAGGCTCAAACTTTTCCAGCATTTCATCTTCCTGCAAGGTGTCTAAGAATATATAATTCAGGAATTCACATGCAAAAGTATATATGATGGTTAATCTATCAAGTGATCTCTTTACTTAGCCTTAAGCTGGGAAAATGTGTATTTTCTAGCTTATCTATTGTTAAGAAATATATTTATGAGAAAAGAGTAAAGAGTCAGATCTCAAGAGTGGACCCAGTTCTTGGTTCAAAGCTCTATTATATTTCCTCTGTTTTTCAGTACTTGGTTTATGTGATTCATGAATTTAAAGTGCCTTCTCTTTGCAGGTATATGATAATCATGATGCATATGTGATTATACTTTCCCAAGTAGTTGTATGTGTGTTTATGGTCTTGTGTGTGGCTATGGAGAAACACTTTTGTGGCTTGTCATTACTGCTTCTGGTCCTGCTTTTAGCCTCCATAGACAGATCAACACAGCTTCAATCATCTCAATCTCAAACCCTTTTGAGGCTACAACAGCTTCTCCTCTATCCCAAAGTCTTAACCAGCTGGAACAACTTTACAGATTTCTGCAACTCCGAGCCAAATGCCTCCCTAACCGTTGAATGCTATGAAGATAGTGTAACGCAGCTCCACATCATAGGAGACAGAAAATCTCACATGTTACCAAAGAGTTTCTCAGTAGACTCATTTGTTACCACTCTTGTTAAGCTCCCTGATGTTAAGGTTCTCACCTTAGTGTCCCTAGGGTTATGGGGTCAGTTACCTGAGAAAATCAACCGTTTGTACTCGTTAGAGATTCTCAATGTCAGTTCCAACTTCCTCTTTGGACACATTCCTCATGAACTCTCGTCTCTCGCTAGCCTTCAGACACTTATACTCGATGAGAACATGTTTTCTGGTCTTTTACCGGCTTGGATTGGCTCTTTACCGAGTTTAGCTGTGTTGAGCTTGAGAAAGAATGCCTTCAACGGCTCACTGCCTTCTTCACTACGTACCTTGTCAGGTCTTAGAGTACTTTCTCTAGCTAATAACCGGTTTAATGGAGCTTTACCTGATCTAAGCCATTTGACAAACCTTCAAGTGCTTGACCTTGAGAGAAACTATTTTGGACCGTTGTTTCCTCGGTTAAGTCACAAGTTGGTTACTCTTATTCTCAGCAAGAACAGGTTTAGGTCTGCAGTATCATCTCAAGAAGTGAGTTCTTTGTATCAGCTTCAACATTTGGATCTTTCATTCAATACATTTGTTGGTCCGTTTCCCACTTCCTTGATGTCTCTCCCTGCAATAACTTACTTGAACATTTCACACAACAAACTCACCGGGCGGCTTTCGACAAATCTTTCTTGCAACTCAGAGCTGGTGTTTGTGGATCTTTCATCGAATCTTCTTACAGGAAGCTTGCCTGCTTGTCTTAAACCGAGTTCAGGCACTAGCAGAGCTGTTGCCTATGCAGGTAACTGTTTAGCTACTTCAAATGAAGACCAGCGTCCAGTTTCTTATTGTAGCAATGAAGCTCTTGCTGTTGGTATCTCACCAAATAAGAGGAACAGAGCTTCCAAGTTGAGTATTGCCTTAGGGATAACCGCAGGCATTCTTGGGTTGATTCTCCTTGCTGGTGTATTGTTTGTGGTTCTCAGGAGAGTCAATGCTAAGAAGAAAGCAATGGAATCTTCTCCAAGATTGATCAAAGAGAATGCTTCATTTGGATACACATCAAAGTTACTCTCAGATGCAAGTAAGAAGATCAAACATCTCTCATATATTGTCACACATTTCAAATGAGTTTTATTTGTTGCTTGTGGCTTACGGCAAATACTTTTGTAGGGTATATCTCTCAAACAATGAAGCTAGGAGCAGTAGGTCTTCCATCTTACAGGACATTCTCACTGGAAGAACTTGAGTATGCAACAAACAACTTTGAATCCTCTGCTTTCATGGGTGAAGGTTCTCAAGGACAGGTAATAAACTTTATGTTTCCAAATTCTGAAAATGTGCTTTCTCACCTTTTTCTTGTTTTATTCAGATTTACAGAGGGAGGTTGAAAGACGGATCATATGTGGCAATTAGATGTTTGAAAATGAAGAAAAGTTGCAGCACCCAAAACCTGATGCATCACATTGAGCTCATTGCTAAACTGAGACACCGTCATTTAGTTAGTGTGCTAGGGCACTGTTTTGAGTGCTACTTAGATGATTCAACAGTGAGCAGAATGTTCTTTGTCTTTGAGTATGTCCCAAATGGAGAACTAAGAAGCTGGATCTCAGGTATGACACTGAAACATGATGTCCCAAGGATCATCATCATATCTTTTGATAAAAACTAGACCTGATTGTTATTTTTCTTTTAGATGGCCATAAGGGAAGACTGCTTACTTGGGAGCAACGCATAAGCGTAGCCATAGGTGTAGCAAAAGGGATCCAGTTCTTGCATACTGGTATCGTCCCTGGTGTTTATGATAACAACCTGAGGATAACAGACGTTTTGCTTGACAATAATCTCGCTGCAAAAATCAGTAGCTATAACCTTCCATTACTTGTGGAAGGTCTTGGAAAGGTAAATGATGTTAAACTCTAAAATCTTGTTTAATTTGTTATTTGGTTCTTTTCTTAAATCTGTTTTGCTTTTCTTGTGAAGGTGGTGCAAGTAGTATCTCGAGCCTGTCCCAAAGGCACTCCAAGGTGTGTCAAAGATGAAGATAAAATAGATGTTTATGACTTTGGAGTAATCTTGCTTGAACTTATAGTGGGAAGACCATTAATAGCAAAGGGTCAAGTCGATGTTCTAAAAGAGCAGGTAACGCCATTGTATATATATATTGCTAGAAATGAAAATCTTGATCATCTACTTTATATATAAACTTTATTATTTTTCACATTTTATGTTTGTAGTTACAAGCAAGCATCTCAGGGGATGATGGAGCACGTAGGAGCATGATGGATCCTACGGTCCAGAAAACTTGTTCAGACCAATCCCTAAAGACAATGATGGAGATATGTGTAAGGTGTCTCCTCAAAGACCCTTTTGAACGGCCATCCATTGAAGATGTCTTGTGGAATCTTCAGTTTGCTTCTCAAGTCCAAGACGGTTGGCTACAAAACAGCAATCCCTCTAGCATTCGCGGCTCGCCTTCTCCTGCTGCTTCCTCTCTTCCTCCTCCTTCTCGTTTACACATAACAACACTCGAATCTCCCCGTGACTCAGGTAGTTATAAATCGATATTGCACTACATTTTATAATCATCTGTAATATCTTTTTTTTTGTTGTTGTGTGGCTGTAAATTGTAGGATTTGAAGAACATGAGAGATAGGGAGACAAGAGTTTTGGTTTGGTCCGTTGTGTGCTCTTCACTAGCCTAACTTCCATCTATAACGCATAGTAAAATCAGTTATTAGTTTCAACTCGAATAACAAACTGGTTATTAACAAGGAGGCGTGAAAGTTGTGTCTCTTATTCATGTTCAAAAGAGATATCATTTCCACCAATCAACAAATCATCAACGTAAACCAGTACGTACAACCTCATATCTCCACGAGCCAAGTAAAACAATGAATAGTCAGAGTAGGTTTGCGCAAACCCATATCCAAGCAAAGCAGTTGTCAGCTTCGCGAACCAACACCGAGGTGCTTGTTTCAAGCCATATAACGACTTGCGAAGCCGACACACTTTATTGCTACCGGATGAATGAAAACCAGGAGGCAATGTCATATACACCTNAACCTCATATCTCCACGAGCCAAGTAAAACAATGAATAGTCAGAGTAGGTTTGCGCAAACCCATATCCAAGCAAAGCAGTTGTCAGCTTCGCGAACCAACACCGAGGTGCTTGTTTCAAGCCATATAACGACTTGCGAAGCCGACACACTTTATTGCTACCGGATGAATGAAAACCAGGAGGCAATGTCATATACACCTCTTCTTCTAAGTCTCCATGTAAGAACGCATTATGGACGTCCATTTGATGAACTTCCCATCTTTTTACAGCTGCAACTTTGAGAAACATGCGTATAGTTGTCATCTTCGCAACCGGAGCAAACGTCTCCTCATAATCTTTTCCTGCAATTTGTCTATCGCCACGGATAACAAGTCGTGATTTATAACGCTCAATAGAACCATCAGCATTATGTTTAACAGTGAATACCCAACGGCAACCAAGAGCCTTCTTTCCAGGAGGGAGGTCTGTGATGTACCATGTATCATTTAATTCCAGAGCATCAATCTCTGCCCTCATCGATTCACACCATACCTTTAGTTGAACAGCTTCAGCATATGTCTTTGGAGCGACTGCTGCTGTTACCGCAGCGATAAAAGCCTTGTGTTTATCTGAAAACCGTTCACATGTAACATAGTTTGAGATCGGATAAAGGACCGTACCTGTTGAAGAAGACGCTGGTGATGGCGGGGTGTGGTGTGAGGGGTCAGTCGCGGTAGTCTTGTAGAGGACATAGTCCTGCAATCTTCTTGACGTAGTACGATCTCGCTTTCCTCTACCAAGTTGTTCCTCAACAATAGGCTCCAAAACAGAGTCAGTATCAGTATTAACTTGTGGCTCAGTAACAATTACAGCTTGTGGTGTGTCATTACCATCAACACTCCCCCTGTCGTTTGTATTCTCCATAATAATTGGTTCTTGAACAGGCTCTTGCACATGCAACTCATCTGTTACTACACCGTCTGTTCCTTGTGCTGTTGTAAGTTCATCATTCCATACACTCAAATGTGGTAAAGGTAATGAATCAGCCAAATCAGTAGGAGGAGGCGTCGCAAATGGGAATTCCTTCTCATGAAATACAACGTCCCTAGATACGAAGTACTCTTCTTTCTCAATATCAAAAACTCTCCATCCTTTTTGACCATAAGGATATCCAACAAAAATACATTTGCGACCTCTTTCACCAAACTTGTCTTTATCTCTTGATTTATTGTGAGCAAAACATAAACATCCAAAGACTTTCAACCTCTCAAAAGGTGGAGCCGAGCCATACAATATCTCATAGGGCGTCTTACCTTGTAGGAGAGTCGATGGTGTCCGATTAATCAAATGCGCAGCAGCTAAGACACATTCTCCCCAAAACTGGATCGGTAGACTTGCTTCAAACATGAGTGAGCGAGAGACGTTCAGAATATGACGGTGTTTTCTCTCTACTCTGCCATTTTGCTGTGGTGTGTACACACAAGAAGTCTGGTGCAGTATCCCTTCATTCCCAAAGAACTGCTTCAAACAGGTGAACTCAGAACCATTATCACTTCTGACCACGCGAACCCGCTTTTCAAATTGCCTTTCAGCCATAGCGCAGAATTGTTTAAGATAATCAGCTACCTCTCTTTTTTCCTTTAAGAGATAAATCCAAACCGCTCGTGAACAATCATCAACAATTGTAAGAAAGTAAGATGCACCAGAAGAAGAAACAGTGCGATAGGGTCCCCATATATCACAATGAATCAATGCAAATAACTCAGCAGCTTTATTAGTACTTTCTTGAAAACAATCACGGGTTTGTTTAGCCCGAAAACATGTATCACAAACTACTTCTGTCTCTGAAGGTTTCCCAACATCAACATGACTCGATAACAAAGACAAAATCCTAGTTGATGGATGACCTAACCGGCGATGCCATAGATCCCTAGCTCTAACACTTGCTGCCGCTTGAGCTTGAGCACCAATGACACCACGGAAAATATAGACCCCTCCACACTCTTCACCCGCTCCAATCAGCGTCTTCGAAGTANACAAATCTCCACCTAAACAAAGATCTCCTTGTTTAGTAGCTACTGCATGATCTCCATCCGGCAGTCCAATAGAACATGGAAAGATACTTGTAACATTGGTTAAAAGATCAAGGTTCCACGTCATATGGTGGGAAGCACCTGTATCAATAATGAACTCAACATTATCTTTCTTACCAGTCAACTTGTCAACGGACTCAGGTTGTTTGGTATTGAGAAACTTCACTACAGCACTCCATTGATCATCTGATAGGTTCGGGAGACTGCTACGATCGAACTCCTGCCTTTTAACAGAATTCGCCATTGTCTGAGCTTGGACGAGCTAAGCATCAACCTGAGCAGCATGCGCTCTACCAGCTGCTGCCATCCCTCGTCCTCTTCCTCCAATCATTCCACCTCCACGACCAGTTCTGCCACCACGAGTTCCTCCTCTGCCATTACGGCCACCTCTCTCACCCCACCATTCTGGAAAGCCTTTTATTTGGTAACAATCGGACACCGCATGACCATACTTGCCACAATGCGTGCAAGTGACATCTCTTTCTCGATCAGTAGTTGCAGAGGGACGAGCTCTGTTTCCTGCATATGCAGAGAATCCAACAGCATCTGTGTGCTCATCTCTGTTTCGCGAGATGGTTTGTTGTCTTTCTTCTCGTATGATACGTTGATAGACTTGAGTCAATTTGGGCAGTGGCTCAATACTTGTAATTGTTGAGCGCACTGTTCCAAAACGCACAGAGTCTAACCCATTAAGAAACGTATTAGTACGTTCTTCATCACGATCCTCTTCTAGCTGTCTCGCCATCTCCCCACATGAGCATGATCTTATCGGTTTGTACACAGCAAGCTCATCCCACATCTTCTTGAGCTTTCCAAAATATACCATCACAGTATCTCCATGTTGTCTGCAATTAGCGATCTCTGCTCGAAGCTCGCTGATCCTTGGACCATTCCCTGCCGAAAATTGTAGGTTCAAATCATCCCACAAAGTTTTAGCTTCATCTACCATTGAAACCGAGGTCTTGAGAGTTGGTTCAATGGTGTTCATAATCCACGCCACCAGCATGGAGTTTACAACCTCCCACTGCTCGATCTCCTTCGTATCTGTGGGTTTGACTAGAGTTCCATCAATGAAACCCAATTTTCTCTTCGTCCGCAAGGCGTTCCGCACATGCTTGCACCAATCTTCATAATTCTCTCCTCGTAACTGAACACTTGTGATCAGATTACCAGGTCCATCTGATGGATGAAGGTAGAACGGAGAATGGGTTTTATCCACCGTTGCGACCACCATCGCTTTGCCGCCGCCTTCCGCGATTTGGCTGTCGTTAGTCATTGAGCTATATGCTCTGTTTCGAATGTTCTTCTTTCACGTTTTTTTTTTTTTTNATAATTCTCTCCTCGTAACTGAACACTTGTGATCAGATTACCAGGTCCATCTGATGGATGAAGGTAGAACGGAGAATGGGTTTTATCCACCGTTGCGACCACCATCGCTTTGCCGCCGCCTTCCGCGATTTGGCTGTCGTTAGTCATTGAGCTATATGCTCTGTTTCGAATGTTCTTCTTTCACGTTTTTTTTTTTTTTCAGTAAACCTGCTCTGATACCATAACAAGGAGGCGTGAAAGTTGTGTCTCTTATTCATGTTCAAAAGAGATTATATACATGAGCTTGTAAGCCCTAAGGCAATATTCTAAACGTATCCTACAAGATATAATATCTATGAATATAGGAAACATTCAATAACTATAGATATTTACATAATACTCCTCAATAGTTATCTCATTAAAATATAAACTACCAACTCTACATATATCTTGGTGTATACAGTATAGTGTTGATTACTATTATTCTCTTTTTCCAACATTATTAAAAAGGAGATATATATAAATTAAAGACAAGCCTAGTTATATTTTTTTATATCCGGTGAAAACCCTCTGCCGGAAATATAACCTCCGCAGCCACCACTGTTGAACCAACAGCCACCGAAAAATCAGCACCGCTCTCTTCCTCTTCCTCATGCTGACTTAGTCTACCCTGTTGATGCGGTGGCATAGGCTGCAACGAATGTTCTAAGTTAGCCGGAGCCATGACGTCATAACCAACGGCCGCTGGTGCAGTCGCGGCGAAGCTGTTCATGGTGGCTCCAGCAAGAGTGGTGGAGGCGGATGAGTTGTTGGAGTATTCAGGTTGTTGCATAACGACTAGTTGTTGTTGTTGTTGTTGATGACTTTGTTGTTGTTGCATAACGTTGGCCATTGCGACTCTACTATTGATTAGTTGTGATTGCACCAACGATAACTCTGCTTGTAGCGAGGCCACCTAACATATTCATGGTTACAAAATTACTTATATCTATTGTTAAATTTGTAAAACTAACTTATGATTTTTTTTAGCTGACAAAAGAAGTTGAGAAATATTTATCGGAATTCAATATTAATGTACATATTTTTATAGGTCTAAAAACATGTATACTATCTCCATTTTTTTTTAAAAAAAAAATTGTTTAGAATTTTCTGTTTAATAAAATAGATTTTTTTTTGCATTTTAAAATAATTTTAGTAATTGATACTAAAGTTTCTACTTTTCAAAATATTAATTGAAAATGTTTGAATTGATTAAATACTTTTGATAGTTTTTGTTAAAGAAATATAAGTAATAGGTATTAATTAGAATTATTTAGTAAAAGCGAATAATAATTTTGAATTGTGTATATTATTATATTTTTAATGTATAAATAGAATACTATAAAAAATTATTTACTATCCTCTGCTTCACTTTAGTTGTTATTTTAGGTTTTTCACACATATTAAAGAGAAAGATTTAACTTTACATATTTTCAAGATAAAAATACATTTACATATACATCTAAATATTTTTCAACTAATAAAAAAAATAAAATATCATATAAATTTAATAAATTTTGCTTCGAAACTCTAAAATACACTTATTTTAAAATGAATTTTTTTTTTTCTAGAATAGAATGACAAGTAATTTAAAATAGTATGTATTATGTTAAAGAAACGTAATTAAAAGAATAAATTCACCTGTTGTTGGAGAGCAAGGATAGTTGAGACGCAGCCATAAACAGGATCAGATAGCCTAGCCTGAGCCTCGTATGAAATCGTAACCACCGCCTCGTGACGACGGTTCACCGGAATATGATGCAGTAGTTTCGACACGTTACTAGCTCCAAACACCTTATGAACCGCCGCGAACCTAGCCGATCCCTGGTCCGAACCGCAATGTGGAGCGAATATGCACCCACTAACACACTTCCTTCTCAAGAACTTGCAAGCCCCACAAGGTGAGATCGTTCCTGTCCCCGTCGTGGCAGTTGCGGCTGCTATGGCTCCGCCGCCGGAAGAAAATGACGACGTTGTAGTTCGTTGTGAGGTTCGTCTCCCGGCTGCTGATGGTTTCCGGCGAGAGTCTGAAGTGTTGTGGCTACGTTGCTGATCAGCCATAACCAAACAAGTATATATTAATTGATTAGGTTTAGTTGATGAGAGTTTCTTGTCAACAAATGTTATCTATAAATGTATTTTTTTTTAATTGTGTATGTGTGCATGTGTGAATGTGGGTATATAAGTACAAGAAAAAACGAAGGAGGCCACGTTTGTTTCATGAAGGAGATCGCTAGGTGAATTTGATATATAATCTTTTTCTTTTTTCCCATTTCTTATTTTAAAATTAAACTTAAGTAACCTTTCTTCTTTATTGGAATACTATCAGTATGCACATGATATAATAATAGCGTACGTATAAGTTGCCATATCGGTTAAATTCAAAAAAAAAATTTCTACCAAACGATAGTTAAATATTGTTACACGTATACGTTTTGTTATGCATTTCCAAAGTTCAATCTAGTTGCATCTGACAGCTTCGTTTTCACATTATTTTCGCCGTTCTACCGTATTTATCCATAGCTTAAATTATGACGTTAAAAATAAAAAATAAAAATAAATAAATAAATAAATAAATTATGACGTTAAGGAAAAAACTATGAGGTTTAAAATAGTCTCTCTTTTCTTTAAAAAAAAATGACGTTTAAACTATGATAGGCGTTTTTATTAAATAATAGAACGATGGTAAAAGTACTAGAACATGATAGATTGATAGCTAGTTTTTTACCATTTTTTCAGAAGCTAGAAACCTGGTTTTATCGTAGTAGTTTCGTTATAATTTTGTAACCAACATAGGAAAATTCGCACCATCACACATGTACGTAAAGACACAGTGGCTGGTTTTGTTAGGTGCAAGAAAAGGAGTATACACGAGCAAAAAGAGTGTTTGTGTGTATAGCTAATATTTATTTACTATATAATTATTTTCATACATCGTATCTTAAGCATAGCAATAATATTTAATCATAAACGTTTCCAAAAAGGGAAAACTTTTGGAAGTTGTTAACATGAGATGCATGGGTGGGGCTAATTAATTATTGGAATTCTTAGGGTGTGTCAAATTAAGTAATTCTAACCCAAATGTATACTCAATTGCTAGGAAAAGAGTATAGAAATAGACTTCTATTTGAAAATACATGAAGTACACGATATCATATTGTGAAAAATCAATCAATACATCAATCAATCTGTAGTTTAGGTCTGTAGAAGTTGACAAAAAAAAAAAAGGTCTGTAGAACATGTTGATGCAATTTAAATGATCAGCTGCTACATTATAGTTAGAGCACCCTCAACGCAAGCGCTTGAGGAGTTGCTAAACCATGGAGCCCACCAAAACAGAAGAAGACCCGGAGCCAAAATGGCCAGATTAAGCGCTGGAGCTTGCACTATTTCGCGGGCCCCACTGACACGTGGCGGCCCGCGATTGGTTGCTTTTTTAATTTTTTTTTTTTTTTTTTTTAGTCAGATAAAAATATTTTTTTAAAAAAATAAGCACCCCACTTAGCACCCATGCATTGATCATGCTCTTAATTAACAACATATCTTGTCATTTATAAAAATGACTAAATCTGATGACGCAATATAGNCACTGACACGTGGCGGCCCGCGATTGGTTGCTTTTTTAATTTTTTTTTTTTTTTTTTTTAGTCAGATAAAAATATTTTTTTAAAAAAATAAGCACCCCACTTAGCACCCATGCATTGATCATGCTCTTAATTAACAACATATCTTGTCATTTATAAAAATGACTAAATCTGATGACGCAATATAGAATAGGAAAATCAATTGTATACGTAGTAACAAATTGACAGAATAATAAAGTACATGTAGTTCTTTCTCAAAAAAAGTACATGTAGTTAATTAACATAATTTTTTTTCTGGGGTCAAACTATAATAATTATACGTACTTAACACACATGTAGTTAATAAACATAAATCTTTGATGCACCTGCTTTGCCTGCGATACACTCTAGCTTCGTTCAGTGGCTCTAAAACTCAAAATAAGTCTCAGAACACAAAACATGATTAGTGGTAAACCTGATAACATTTAGTTACTAATCAAGTTCTAATTAATTAGGTTTTGCTAATAGTTCATAATACTTGAGAGAATCCTTTTGCGAAGAATATAATTGTAAAGATTAATCTAAACTAAATGTCATCAAATTTTTGGAGGATTTGTCTCAAAAGGTTTGCGATGTCAATGATTAATATTAACGAGTTGTATAGTAGCGTAGCACCATCTGATTATATAAGTATCGTATTCGTTTGGACATGTACGTATGTGTGTTGTGTAAGTACGTATGTGTAAGTTTGTGTCTGAAGGAGGAGAGGCACAAGAATCGTGTTGACCGTTTCGTGTGGAGTTCTTTGGAAGCTAACCAACCTTCATGTCTCTCGTGCTCCTTTTCTCACAACATTCTTCCCCTTTATTTAATTTCCTTACTTTGCCAATATTTCTTTATACTTTTTTATGAAATTTAAAGCATTCCTCATACTAATATCTAATTAAAACAACTATATAATTAAGGCTACTAATTAATTAAAAATATTGTAATAACTTGCGTATGACAAAGTGGTTGAACATAAACTCGAGTTAGGACATAAGTATGAGATAAAGACAGAAGCTGATGATGATAAAATCATGTCTCCTCACAAGGCAACGCCCTTGAGCTTCTCAATAGGATGGTGAAGAGATTTCCACCGTCACAAAAATGATTTATGAATCTAACAACATTTCCAATCTTGTGGCGTTGATGTGTTACTGTTTATTAATTCTTAAGCAAGCTTGTTTTGAAGAGAAGGTGCTCTCACTTATGATTAGAAGAGCTGAAGAAACAAGATTGGTGTTGACCTTAGCTCGTTTGTCGTAGATATTTTGACGTCTACGTTCTTCATCCGTTGTCAACAACTCACCTAAGCTCAAGTAGGATGAGACTATGGTGCTGAGATCTTGTAACTTGAGTGTTTCCACGGTCGGATGCTGTGGATGAACAGACTTGAAACAATGATCCTAGGAGACAGTCAAGTGTTTGTTGTAATACTTGTTTTATGTATGTGTAATAGTTGGAGTTGCTAGGATAAACTAAGCACTCATCATCAATAGTATTACGACAACAAAACTAAAGAATTTCATTGTCTGAGAGTCTCCCAACATATGTTGTATGTAAAATGTTATAAAACATTAAGAAAAGCTATCTTCTACTTGTCTCAACACCTCTCAAAACATAAACAAGAATCAAGATTTCTCAAGTCTCACATAGTCACTTGTGGTTCTGCTGGAAGTAACTCTCTTCCTCTCGTAAAGCATCTTCCTAAGAAAGAGACAAGGAAAATGATCCTATTTGCATTTACTAGCTGATTTAATTTTAGCTTCACTGTTGACTAAGCTGCTTCTATCTTCTTCGTTTCTACTGCTAACTGCTTTCATTGGCTTGTCACCAAAGGACTCTATCCTGGCATCTTTCTTCTTCCAGACAAGTTCATTCACCTGCATTATCAATACTTATTTGTTCCAATTAGTTAATGTCTACATGAGTTACAGAGAGACATGGCTGACCTGACCTCTATTAGTTTGACATCGATGCGGTTTCCTATCTGAAAGGCCTGAAAGGCAAAAGATTAATGGGGGNGGGGGGGGGGGGGGGGGGGGGGGATGAGCGTAACTCAAAGCTTAAATTAAAGAATGAAACTGTCTCATATGCTAGGGATCAACGGGTTAGGCTCACATCCTCTAGTTCTAGTGGAACCTCTGCTAGATAAGCATGTTTGTGTTCTATGTTAAATGATTACTTGTGTCAATTGTCATAGTAGATGATAAGTTAAATCAATATGGTCCCGATATTGTCTTTGCGAGATTCTCATACATGTGACTCACAACACGTTGTCTTTCTACTGCTGCATTTTTATTACAACGAGCGAGTCTGTTATACATCATACTATGTGTTAAGTAAATTTTTCGCAGTTGATATGTTTAACTCACACTACTACATATCTCGGAGATGCAGCAAAGCGATTACATAATTTATAAGAAAATTAAAATAACACATTTCTACAAGAGCTTAAAACTTGTAACAACACTTTAACATGATTACCAACTTAAAAAAAAAAAAAACTTGTGACAACATATCATACCATCAACACAAGCGGCATAATATCCTTTATTTTGCGAGAAATTTTCAGAATTACATTTATGGTGACAACTTGTGAAAAAATATATATATATATATATTCATTCATCTAGAAATTGTGGAATCATATGTTTTTGCCTTTGGAAAACCTTGAAGGTGGTGGAGGTATAGCGTTCAAAAGGCCATGGGCCTTTTTCCACCTCTTCAAACATGCGGCATTGCAATTTGCCACCGGCGTTGGAAACCACTTTTTAGGAAAAGGAAGCCTAGCGAGACTTTGGTCTGTCGTCGCTCGATCATGATGCTCAGTCTCTTCTGCATCAATACCACCCAAACGCATTAGTTAATCATATGTACTACAGTGTCAATTAAGGTTTGGTAAACCGGTCATTTTTGTCTGAACCAAAAAGAAAAGCAAATAAAAATTTCTGATTTTATCTTTTGTTTTTTTTTTAAAACATAATTTAGTAAGTTATGAAGAAAAGAAATCATAACGTTTAGTGTTAGGAGTTATATTCCTTTTTCGAATGACAAAACTTAAGCTAATAGAAAAAGATAGTGAGGCTGACAAAAAAAAAAAGATAGTGATGGTTTCGTTTAAAGACCAGAAAAATGAGTTTCAAAAAGACCAAAAAAAGAAGACTAACTAAGTTTGCGGTTGCGGTTGCGGAAATGAATTTGTTCACCAAGGGCTTTATCCATATCGGGAAACACAAGAAGGAGAAGAAGGACAGAGACAAGCATGTACGATACTTTAGAAGACACCATCTTTATGTTCTCTCTTTCTTAGTTTACTGAAGAGTGGATGATAAGTGTAACTCAATTGCATGCATTTATATAGAAGGGAGAGGTGGAAATTTACTTAGGGTTTTGTGTTTTGTGTTGGAGATAAGTCATCAAAGACGGTAAAAAATAAAAGCCATCGAAGACTTAGTTGAATATCACTTATGGGTCTTGAAGTTTTGGTAGTTTTAGGCGAAGCTTCTTGCTTCATTCTAACAGCACTTATTTTCCAGGATATTATTATATTTCGTTTCAATGGGTCAACTTGCATCAATTTAGCATACTCATTTTGCAGGAGATTATCATATTCCATTTCACTCATATTGTAGATAAATTATTAAATTTAAATCTGAACAGTTCATTTCTTTAGGCGAAGACTTAGTTGAATGTCACTTATGGGTCTTGAAGTTTTGGTAGTGTTAGGCGAAGTTTCTTGTCTCATTCTAACACCACTCATTTCCAGGATATTACTATATTTCGTTTCAATGGGTCAACTTGCATCACTTTAGCATATACTCATTTTGCAGGAGATTATCATATTCCATTTCACTCATATTGTAGATAAATTATTAAATTTAAATGTCAACAGTTAATTTCTTAAATTTTGAAATTGACAAATCAATTACGCAAATTTGTTTTGTTATATAGCATTTGAGTAAGAGTCACATGTATGAGGATCTTGCAAAGATGAACTCAAATTGAAGTATCGGATGCTGTGGATGAACAGACCACAAACAAAGATCCTAGGAGACGGTCTAGTGTTTGTTGTATTACTATTCTTATGTATGTGTATTAATTGGAGTCGCTATGATTCACTAAACACTCATCATCAAGTAGTATTAAGACAACAACAACAAAAAAAAAAGAAGAAAGGATTTCATGTATGAGAATCTCCCTAACATACACATACGTTGTCTTCAAAATGTTATCCTCCTCCACACCGAACTAGCCAAGATATATCTATAAAACATACGAAGCTACCTGCTACTTGTCTAACACCTTGCAGCTCTCAAAACAAAACCAAAAAACAAGAATCAAGATTTCTCAAATCTCACCTCCACTGGAAGAAACTCTCAAACTTTCGTAATGAGTCTTCACAAGAAACAGATATGAACACTGATCTTGTTTTGCATTCATTAGCTGACTGTAGCTTCACCATTGACTAAGCTGCCTCTTTCTTCTTCGTTGCTACTGCTTTTCATTGGCTTGTCACCACTGGATTCTCTCCTGACATCTCTCTTCTTCCACACATGTTCATCCCCGGATGCTCTTGTAGCTGTACGGTCTTTCGATGAAGGATTTACATACTTCCTTGGTGATGAACTCTTGGTAGAATCACCAGTCGAGGGTGGTTTCTGGTTGGCTTTTTCTAACTCTGATTCCGGAAGTAAAGCTCGAACACTAAGCCGAAGCTGACCTTTTTCATTCACCTGCATTATCAACATTTCTTTGTTCAACAACTCATCCAGTTCTCATCTACAATTAGTTATAATGTCTCCATGAGTTACAGAGACGCATGGCTAACCTCTATTAGTTTGACATCAATGCGGTCTCCTATATTATAGGCCTGAAAGGTCACAAGATTAATGAGGGATATAAAAGATGAACTTTCTACAAAAAGGAAGAGATCAATGGGTTTAGGCTCACATCCTCTGGTTTGGCAAGCCATTCAGCACTTAGCTCACTGACATGGCAAAGCCCTTCTCTCCCAGGTGCAATCTCTACAAAGGCACCATAAGGAGCCATTGATTTGATTTCACAATTCCTGATAAAAATAAAATAAAAAATTCAGACTCCAAATGCAGATTCCTAATAAGGTGAAAAACAAAGATTTTGTGGAAAGACATGCCTATAGATATCACCAATAGCTGGAACCATAGTCAACCCACTGATAATCGCTTTTGCCCTCTCCAGACTCGCTATATCGTTTGCCATAATTTTGACCTTGACAAAGATAAAGGTTAACATGATGAAACACCCATAAAGAAGAATAAAAAAAAACAAAATCATGTAAAACTTACAGTTCCATCATCTTGCATATCAATGCCTTCAACTCCTGATTCTTCAATGATACTCTTTACTTTCTTGCCACCAGAACCAATGAGGGAGTATACTTTGCTTGGATGCACCTGTAGCACATGAAAAGCCAACAATCTTTAGTATAAGCCAATAAGGTGTTAGACTGAGTAACTCTAGGAAAATGAGTTGAAGCCACAAACCTTCATAATATGTATCAACGGAGCGTATTTTGAGAGACTCAACATAGGAGGTGGTGAGCACTTTGCCATTTCAGCTGCAAGGAAAGAAAAAAAATTAGTAAATCTTCAAAAAGAACTAGTTCCACTATTTAGAATTTATTACCAAGAATATGGCGACGCCCAGCTTTTGCTTGTATCAGAGCCTTTTCCATTATCTCTAAAGTGATTCCTCCTACCTTAATGTCCATCTGAAACGCGGTAACACCATCTTCGTTCCCAGCAACCTATTATCAAACAAATCAAAGAGCCTCAGCATTCAAGTCAATGCAAAGGACCTTGAAGAGAATCCTTTTATATATCTTCTGACCTTAAAGTCCATATCACCGGATGCATCTTCAGCTCCTGTGATGTCAGAAAGGATAAGGGGAGATCCATCACCGCCAAATTCTTCTGTATCCCAAACCATTCCCATTGCTATGCCAGCAACAGAGCATTTGACTGGAACTCCAGCATCTTGCAAAGCCAAGCAACCGCCACAAACAGATGCCATGCTGTAAAAGTATCAGGCACAAATCAATCACTCAGACAAACTTGGCACGCACAGCTCCTACAGACAGGGAAAGAAGAAAGGCTGACCTAGAAGAACCATTGCTTTCGAGTATTGTACTCTCAACACGTATAGTGTAAGGAAAATCATCATCACTAGGTAATATAGTCTCCAATGCTCGCTCTGCCAGTGTCCCATGACCTACTTCCCTTCTACTGGGTGCTCCAATTCGTCCAACTTCACCAACTGACGATGGAGGAAAAGTGTACTGAAAACATCAAAAGGAGTAGCTTAGAAAATCTCTTTAATCTCAACAAGAAAACTAAAGAAGATTAAGCACTGAACATTTCCCAAAATATTTATGTTAGGTTGTGTCAAAAAAACCTTAAAACTAATCTGTAAATAATAAGAGTGTAAAGAAGGTCAAACTATGGAAGAGACCTGAAGATAAAACCTCTTGTATTCATCAGAACCCTCAAGGTTGTCAATTCTTTGCGCCATTTGTTTATCACCAAGAGTAACAACTGCCAGTGCCTGAAAGAATCATACAAAAATATTCCTTATCGAGAGCATGAGAATAAGAAACTTCATTAACATGCACTAAAGGCGACAAGAAACTGAAATATGAAATAGCCACGCAGGAATACTCCTGAAGAACACATTAATCTGTTACCTGCGTCTCACCACGTGTGAAAAGAGAACTGCCATGTGCTCTTGGAAGCAGTCCACATCTAGAGTTAATTGGCCGAATCCCATCCAGAGTTCGGCCATCACTTCTTTTACCTCCCTGTGGATGAGAAAGATGTAAAATATAATCAATAAACCCGTTTCCACAAAGTGACTCGTTGCTGCAGTGTAAAGTATTAGAAAGAAAAACTCATATCACCAATCGGAGGTTATACCTCAACAATTCGCCTACGCAGGAGCTTTGACGATACTTCTTTGAAGACCAGCTTCACATCTACTTCCGAAAATAGCTACACAAGCGCAATTCACACGTTTGTCAGCATAAACGAAAAAGGAAATGAATAAGATAAAAGCTACGTTTCAAGCTACAATGTAGAAAAAGGTTAAGTGACTGACCAAAGGAACAGGTTTCCTAGGGATGGGCCTTATGTGAACATCGCCTTGGTCCACCTCACCTTCAGGAACAACTTCCTCGTCCTCATCTTCATCCTCCAACAGCTCCGGTTGTGCTTCTGTGGTTCCAAATGCTGCCTCGTCAATGACATATCCCTTCTCAGTCAGTATTGTCAAAACCTTTTCTTCCAGTGAAGATATTGCTTTCCTTCTTGGTATTTTGCCCTTAATCTGTAGCGCTTTGCTCAACTCCTCACCAGCAAGTTCCTGTGAACAGAAAAAAAAAATCGACTTGAGCACCAAATTTACGAGCACATATTCCATTCTTGCAAAACAAAACAGAAACAAGGTTTGCGTAACATACTTTGACATGCTTGTATAGCTCAGGAGGTGGTAATCTTATAGCATCAACCATTTTGGCCTTTCCATGTTTCTTCGCCAAAGCTTCAATAGCAGTGCATGTAGCTTGTACAGCATCCTGGTTAAAAAAAAATTGAAAAGCCTCACATTCAGTACCTAATCCAGATTTTAGAAAATTGAAAATAATCTCAGTTACACTACAAGAAAACTCGTCCATTACTAGGGCAGGTTTTCCTCGTTAGTTCCTAGTAAATGGCCTTTTACTAGGAACTTACGAGGAAACGCGTTTCGTCGAAACACGTTCATCGTAAAGCCTTTTTCCTCGTAAAGTCGTAGTAACCACTTTCCTCGTAATTTCCTAGTAACTATTTTCCTCGTAATTTCCTAGTAACCACTTTCCTCGTAATTTCCTAGTAACCACTTTCCTCGTAATTTCCTAGTAATGCTTTACTAGGAATTTACTTTGAAATATTTTTCCCTATTAAAAAAAATAATTAAAATAAATATAAATAATATATTTAAAAAAATTAAAGAATCCAAATTATAAATAAAAAGAAATAACTAAA